GAACAAGAACAAAGATGATCATGATGCTGATAATTAGACAAATCGTATAATTTTAGTTACATAGTAAATAGTAATTGTAGAAAAGTTTATATATGCATTCTACAAAATATAGCTGAAATACACAAAAACAATGTCAGACAGGTGTGCTAGAAACTTTGGGAACAGTACTTATACTGACTTAGATTCTTAGATGGTAATTAAAGGGAGAAGGCAAGCATTAGAGGGGCAACACCCGTGCTACTTTCACTTTCGGCGTGCCACATTCGAGCCAGCTTGCATCATTTACAGATTATGTCATTGGAATTTTGTAGCGGTCAATTTTGTTTTATTTGCGATGCGCCGGCATTGTGAAGGACGCATTGCAGATGTCATTGTTGTCTATACTGAGTAATTCTATTGTTAATATTTTATTTCCTCAGATGTGTAAACTACATAGAGATAGTCTGCTGGGTACTTCAGTCTCATCTATTTCAGCCGCCAAGCAGCTTGCTTTGTAAGCTATTTCCGTGGTAAGATGCAATTAGGCAATGTAACATAACACACGTCGAAAGTCACTCTGTGACAGTGAAACAATTTTTATTCAAAAAATATTTTTTCAGTATATCTAATACAAACAAAAAACACTGATCTTGCCTCTGTACAATACTAGCTAATATAGATAGATAATCTCCACTTTGTTTGCCTTTTTTTAATAAATGTTCGTCTTAGTCATACAATCTACCTACATATTCAAATTTCGATAAGATCCGATCAGCCATTTCGCTGTGAAAAAGTATCAAACAGCTGTCTGTTTGATGCTTTTTTACAGCAAATAGCTTTATTATAAATTCTAAAATGTGTCTGTACACATTTTAGAATTTATAATAGACTTCATAGCAACATTAGAAGAGATTGTACTACCGTCATAAAATATCATAATCAGCCTGGCTGACTAAAGTTCATAGGGACGTGAAAGAGTTGAGTCTGTCAAATGACGATGCTTACCAGAGAAATGCATGGAGCCTCGACATTAGGATAGCCGTCATTGCGTAAAGGGAAGAGGCGTGGATGAAGAAGAATCAGCCTAAGATGTAGGTATGATTTACTTAATCAGATTTATTTTTAACATCAATAGCTTTACAAATTAGCTTTGCCAGCAATTTGGCGTTCTGCCCATTGATGCTTATTTTGACATTGCGTTTATCGTATATTGGCATTAACGTAATTCTATCTACGCTAAATGTTTAAACACATTAGCTAAAACGTTTACCGAGTTCATATAGTTTACCATCCGTTGGACTGGCTATATCAACTGGAGGTCATATAGCAATTGTAATAATTGTCGTAACACGAACGATTTGTTGGTAGAAAATAGAATAAATAGATTCTGATATCATAGGTATATTACCGTGATTTTGTACGAATTTCTCTACTTGGAACCTCTGTTTTACCAATTACAGACACTAAGCAGCTAGCTTTATAAAATGTTAAAGATAAGACAATTATCCTGACCTCATCGCCACTGAGAAATATGGAATAATTTCCTGTATTACCAGGAATCTTTGGAAGAAAAGAAAGTTTTTTTAATGGGATGGTGTAACCATCTGCGCTATTGGATTACGCTTGTGGGGCATGAATGGAGGATTATTAAATGATAGAGACAAATTCACCAGGAATTTAATACGATGATTTCTAATGGGGATATTGCTAGCAATAATGTTATTAGTCCACATTTCTAACAACTCCCTTCGTCCAATAGTCAAGTTTATCAATAATAAACCACTCGAGGTAACGTAACAATAGTTCATGTAGTCACTTATAAAGATCATCCAACATGTTGATGACTGGGCTAATAATATATTTGATAAATTACCATCATTACTCGACATTGCCAAACGACTAAAGCCTACTTAACTATTGCCGTATTGGATTCATGATAGGTTTGAGTGTCATACAATACCGTAACTTGAATGAATTAATGAGTATATATTATTTGCGTTATATAACATAGCCTGTCATAGACAATAAGAATAGGCAGTACATTGTTAGCAAGGGGGACAATGATTTAACAATGCAATGTGTAAGATTTTGAAGATTTTAAATAATGCACTTTTACTTAAATGTAGTTATATTATACGAGCCGTTACCCGTAATTACGACAGTGTGGAATATTTTTTTTTTTAATGAAATTATTTTATTTTATAATGTCTAAAATTGAAGAGCCTATTTTACTCCTGAAAGTCCAATGAAAGTGAATGAAAGTCCATCCAGTACCAATCTTTCTAGCATTTATTAGCAAGAACAGACAAATAGACAAAAAAATTGTTTTTTTTTTATGTCAGTGACGTATATTGAGCTGTTCATTTTAAATTACAAACAGACACTTCAATTTTGTTTACTTGGATAAATATACACGTCTGTAACCCGTAGTAGTCAGAGTGTAGAGCCATGTGGTAGTCAGAGACCTACTCCCTCTTGGACTATAAATATAGTCCAAGATCTTGGACTATAAATATAGTCCAAGAGAGAGTTTATTAGAAATTCTTTATTATAGGTGTGGGCGACCGACCGCCGCGAACTCTTTTGATAGTCTTATTATTTTTAAATTTATATTTTTAGAACCGTTCTTTTTATATGTCATGTATTTTTATAAATTTCATTATTGTCTTACGGTAGTTCGCAGTTTATGTATATTACATGTGTATATTAATTACATAATACATTGTACTAATACAGTCCACCGATCCCTTCCAAACGTTAGTCACAAATATAGACTTATTTACAATCTTATTTTGGTGTCGGCTAGATTTGAACTTAAGACGTTTGTGCTCAGAAGCTAGAATAGTAAACCACTGGGCCACGAAGTTTAAAAAGTTAAACGCAAGTTAATTTTCGTTATGCAGCTAATCGTTATGTATATCTCACATATCTATACTTATAGAGAGAGAGAGAGAGAGCGGACCCCCCTCTGTTATAAAAAAACACCTATAAAATGAATCATCTATAAAACAACATTTATAGAGTCTGAAGTTACAGAAGGTAATCTTATCGATGATGTAATCTCTTCCAGACAATCTGCGAAATGAGAGTAAGTACAACATATATTTTGCTTATTTATTTAACTATATATTTTATACTGGTATGTTATATATACATATACATATTCTTTTGACTTTATTTATCTGTCTTTCAATCTCAATATCTGATTATTAAATTGCACCGCCATAATATCTCTGATCAGCGCAACGGTTCATTGGTAGACTGCCAGCAGACATTAAGTTCGCCATGTATAAAATTTAGTGTGCAAAAGAATAAATAAATAAACAGTGTTACCGCACATCGCCTAATGGACGTGTTGAGGGAAGTGAATTGTTTCTATCTGTGTATGTTAACGACTCTGTTATGTATGGTGTGAGTGGGTCGATGCCTCTATGGGGTCAGATTGGACAGTCACGACCGAGGTTTCATCTATACTCTATACATATAAATAAAATTGGAGTGTCTGTAATGTTGAAATAACCGTTTTTCTCTACATGCATATATATGCATGTAGAGAAAAATACGGTCGGTACACGCACCAAAATAACATTTTTTACAGTTTTTGTCTGTCTGTCTGTTTGTTCCGGCTAATCTCTGAAAAAGCTGGACCGATTTTGACAGGACTTTTTTTGACAGATGGCTGATGTATAAGGAGTAACTTACGGTAAGGGCTAGTTTTATTTTAGAAAAATAAAGTTAAATTCCCCGCGGACGAAGTCGCGGGCACAGCTAGTCAATCATATAACCATTATTATAGGATGATAATAGAACGATGCACTCGCCTGCGCTAACAGTATGGGCTGGCGGGGCACCAGTGGAAAATGATAAGATGAGTATGAGGTCAGGTCAGTTCAGTTTTTTTTTATTGTATAATATTGGAATGGTGCTCCCGCCTGCGCTAACGGTTTACACTGGCGGGGCATCAGCGGAGACTAATAAGATGAGTATGTGGTCAGGTCAATTAGCTCATCGTGACAAATTCACTTAGAATTTACCGTGATGGTTTCGAGGGGGTACCTGACATGGTACATTGCTAGCAATGGGGTCAACAGTCCAAATTAGGGGGTAAGGGGATTGTTAGTAATGTGGACTGAGGACCCCATTACTAGCAATGTACCATGTCAGGTTGACCTCCACGCGGTTCCCCCTGGAAACCATCGTGATAACTTCCTGGTGAATTTGTCACGATGGGCTAACTGATCTGACCTCATGCTCATCTTATCATCCTCCACTGGTGCCCCGCCAGTGTAAACCGTTAGAGCAGGCGGGAGCATCATTCCATTAACATAAAAAAAAACAGTCCAAATTATTGACAATCCCCTTCCACTCTTCCTATAACCATCATACAGAAGTAGATGCTGTATGCTGTACAAATTCGTTTTCTACACAATTAAAACTATATATTATTCCAAAACTTTACTACCCCACATGATATGGGGCACCTATTACGTGGTCGCGGTTGTTTGTGGTTGTTTGATTCCACGTACGGGACAAACATTATATAGTATCATTGTCTGAGTGTTTTCTATGTATATTATGTAAGTATTTTAAAAGTGTATTTAAGCGTTTGTATCAGTTGTCTAGTACCCATAACACCAGCTCTGTTTACCTTGGGACTAAATAGCGCTGTGCGAATTGTCTGGGATTATTATTAATTAATTATTATTTCATCTTACTTTATTCTATATGTTCGTGACCTCATTATAGGGGCAGCAACGCTCACGTTACACCCCTGCTGTTTTAGTGCACTATAGGTAATCGTTTATCATCATATAACTCGTATGCTCAGTAAAAACGTCTCTTTAGGTGATCAGGACCTCCTAAAGATATTATCCAACTGAAAAACACACTCTACTTGCGACGTAACATTTACCACATATGCTCATGGTTTTCGACTTGCAGGATGGATACAGAAAAAGAAAGATAACTCGTATGCCTGCTCTTTACGTAATTATATGTCAAGATATAAATTGCATGCTTACCAGATAGCGATATGTTCGCATCCTCGCGGTCCGTGTGTGTCAGTCCCATGATTGGACGAGCACAAGCTTCATCACTGAAAATATTTAATATATATAATAATAATACGCATATTCAGTAGGTCTGAGAATCTATTTTTCATATCCATAAGTGATAAGGGTTGTTCGTTCTTAAGAATTATATTTTTATAATGCGACATTAAAAATACACAAACACACAACCCTAAATTTTCACCCTTCTACCATTAAACCCTACTTTTTAATAGCTTTTTAATTTATATGGCAAAATAACATTTGCGGGGTCAGCTAGTAAGTAAATAAAATTATCATCAATGACAATAAATATATATATATATATACATATATATATATATATTTATTATATATATATATATTTTCGCGTATATAACATTTTGACGGACCGTAATAATGGAATTACACTCACATTGAATACATTGTGTAACATACTTGTGAATACGAGCTCTATATCTCTCCAGTATAACACTACACTAGTCCGCCTTTCTATACGCGTCCTTGATATGAAACGAATGTGCATTGGTTGCTAAGACAGTTGCGTTACTTAAGTAAACGTCTTCGATACAATTTGCATGAGCATGCAACATGCAAACTTAGATTTGAAACGCTTAAACAATATTATAAATACATTTTGTATTACTGACTGGCGATATTGTCCAAAGATAACGACAGCCTCCGTGGGTTAGCGGTTTTAGCATACCGCCTTACTTCCGATTATCGCGAGTTCAATACTTCGCATGATATAACATTTTATTGTTTGTTTATGAATAAACGTGTTTTCTATATTCTGTATTATTTTTTCTATCAGTTGAGTGTGCCCATGATAGATTAGATGCCGCCGTGTCAAATGTTCAGAAAGTTTAGTTTACAGACTGTTATTGTTCTGTTTAATTTATTGAATGTGATGATTATCAGTACAATTTTTTAACTGCCACTCCACAACATATTTTTAGCTTCAACTACTTACCTGAATTTTATAATTCATTGAGACAACATCTTAATAATGTCCAATTGGAATCATATTTTTGATAGTGAATCAATAGTTTCCAGGTAATATTTGAGTTTCATAACTAAGGAAAATGTATGAAATAAAATTTCAGATATGGTTTTCTTCATCAATGCATGGATTTAAGAGAAAAGTCAATCTTACTTAAAGGTATTGCCACCCTTTAATTTTTGCTTTGGCAATAATTTGTCTTTCATGGCAGTTCAAAATAAACCAAAATAAATATTGTACTAACCAAAAACAATACACTCATGTATGGAATTTTTTTATTTTAGGTTTTTAATATCTCCCATTTTCGCCACTTTAATATGTGGATGATTGCATATTTATTTTACATTAAAAAGTACAAAAGATTTTTTTTTGTGTTAATGGATGTCAAACAAGCTGACATCCCACCTGATGGTAAGTGGTATATCAGTAGCCATATTTATGTAAATTATACAAATGTATTATGAATAATTACCTCAGTAGCCTATCCCGATAGCAGACAATGGTCCGTCGTTCGTCGCTTACACCAATGGAGAATGTGGTGAGATCTGGATGAGAGTACTCCTCAACACAACGGTGGATGAGGAACCGCCGGTAATTGCTCACTGGTGGAAAAACCAGTACGCTAAAACAAAGTATATATGAAATTACTCTTACAAGTAATTACAAATGTTTTTTAAGTTGTTTATATCTAAGAAAAGACAATAAAATTAACTATCTAAAAAAATAGAAACCTTAGTTAGATAGAGAGGATTTGATATATTTGATTTGACATAGCACCATATAGTTGTGAACTAAAGTTAACAAACATAATATATAAAATAAAATATTTATACAAATGTACATAAAGTGTTGGGTGTTGAAACCTGTGGGTGAATTGAATAGTAAAATAATGTTTTTTTTAATACAAACAATAAGAGTAAATCATTATGCTACTGAGAGTGCTCACAAAGTTTAATTAGTAATAAATGTTACCCATTTTTTTATTAATAAAAAAATAAAACCTTTATTGTTATATTAAGTTTTACAAATCGTTAATAATATTTTCTAATATTAACATTATTCAATAATTATTATTACAATTCTTGTATTCTAATAGGAATCTAAGTATAAACTTATATATATGAATAAAAAAAAAATATTTAATTTCAATCATCAATTTAATAATAATAAACACAACATTTAATAATAGTGTAATCAAAACTGTACTGTAAATCGCAACTGTAATAATATAATATAATAATATACAATACTCAACAAACATTTGCTACTGCCGCCGAATGGTATTAGCTTTTTTTACACCTTGAATGAACCTATATAAAATTTATCCTTGACTGGCATCTCAATTAGGTGCTTTGCCAGTTCCCCTTTAACTCATAACCTTGAATACAAACAAACACAAAAACTTAACATTTTTAAGTATTACTTTAAGTACTTCATAGAATAAATTCAATACAAATTACAAACGTAACTAAACCGATTTGAATTAGCATATCGAATAGTAGGTATATAAGAATGTTAAGTTGTTTACCTGTCAACATTTTGTTCGGCTACAAAACATTTCAGGTCGTCGTTGACATCGTCAACGAAATTACCGTCCGCCAGGCTCAGGAACCTTTCGACCGTTTTGGCACCCAGTTTGACGGTGGTCTGTTTAATTTATATAGGTAAATAAAAAAATAACTATTCACGTGCGAAATAGGATATTAGCATTCGTCCATCTTCATTTTTTTTATGAACGAAACTGCCAATGTCTTTTTTTTTTTTTTTTCCCATATTCGTCCATCTCCTTTTCAGTGATAGAACAGGCAAAGATCCTTAGACCGTACAGCCTAGTCTACTTTTAAACTGCCAATGTCTACTGTCAGTTGATTTTTTTTTTGTATCGGTTTTTGCCGTTTCTCCGAAAGGCAAAAGAACTCAGCCTATACAGCCATTGTCTTCAGTAGTGTTTTCATATTATATTTTTTTCAAATAATGGTATTTATTATATTATATCTTCTATGTCTAATTCTCAGACCACATAAAGTTGAATAGAATTTTCTTTCTGCATATTTTCCTTGAACAAACCAAGGCGATTTAAATTCTTGCTGTATTTATCTGTGAACCTCGATAAACCTTGCCAGTTCATCAGCTTCTGCAGTTAAATTACAAAATGTCATGTTCACAATAGGCAATCACTAGACACGACCTGCGTTTTTACGGAATTCTCCGCGAATACCGATAAACTTTAAATTGTTTTCATTTTGTGGATTTTTTAACTACTGAGGTCATCTTAAATCTTTTAAAATCTACTCTGATAACTCTGAAAATGACAACCACCCTGCATACATATAGTATTCTTACTGAGTTAACTTAAAGTAGTAAGGACTTTACTCTTTGTTTACTAGGGTTACTGTCATGGCCTAAAACTGTTATTACGCTATACAAATGCGTTGATATTTGGTGGATTTTCTTTAATAACACTTTATTGCAGTCCAATAAATTTTCAGATGCTCAGTGTTCTAGCGATTTAGCTGTTTAATATCAAATGGTAACAGGTTCGATTCTCCATACACAAATAAATATCGACTGTGATTATTAGTTTTAATATTAGCTAGATATTGGTTTTAACTTAAAACACCCCTGGGTGTAAATGAAAGTCTATTGTTAAAGCTTTTAATCACTTCTATTTGTTCTTTATTATCATTAGCTGTAGTGCAAGCTCTACTTTGTTTGGGGCTAGACGGCGCTATGTGAATTCCCCTGTGCGCTCTGTAATTATTTTAGAGATAGAAATAAATTTAAACATTGAAGTCTTCAATTAATATATTTCAATTACATCGTAATTAGTACCTATTAAATAAATCTTTGCTTATATTTGTTAAACAATACAACTAAACTATAATTGAACTATAAATTAACTAATGCAATAATTCGAATTAAAATCAGGAATACCATTAATACATAAATTTATTCTAACTTAAGTATAATTCGAAAATCTACGAAACGGTAACAAAAGTTTTCATTTAACAAAAAATAATAACAAAACTGAATAAAAAAAGAAAAACGTTATCTTTTATTACACATTGTTGCGAGAAAACCAAAAGTACGTAAATTAATCGGTAAACGAAATGAAGAGAAAAATTTAGAGAACACCACATACCTAATTCTTAATTTAAATAACATAATAGAGTATTTTAAATTGGAACGTTGTACGACCCAATTTAAGATTTAGGTTATACTCCGATTCGGCGCCAAATTTGAATTTCGACTAACCGAACCCAACAGCTATGTTCGTAAATAATAATTTCTTTTTAACTCTAGTATTAAATCTGTTTAGGAATATTGCAATGAACAAGTAACCACTATATAATAATTCCCAGATCCCTTCGAATATAATATATAGATATATATTTTAATAATATAGACACCTAAAGAGTGGTGAACAAATCTACATTATATCGACTTCTTCACCCTTCCTATTGTGGTTTCAAATTTAACATACGGACATTAGTATTTATAACTATGACTACACGTGTGAGAAAGAATAAGAGCGAGTTTTACTGTCTCACTCTGTCTTGTAGCGACAAATTATTGATATATAATATACAGGATGACTGCAGTATATTGCTAAAGGATTCTTGGGAAGGAAGGTTTCTTGGAGAAGCCTTGGAATAGGACTCATATAGAAATGGATTGTTGTAAGGAAATTGTTGAGGCAGTGAAAGTATACTAACAATAAATATTAAATTGACTGATCATTTCAAATTACACTTAGAACAATAAAATATAGTATTCTTAAGGCTTTCCACTAAGAAATTTACCGTTATACAGGCTCGTCGATAACTTTTGCTTATGAGTTTTAGACTAACATTTAGTATGTCAAAAGTCAACAGAACAAACTTAGTCTTGACACCGACAAAAAGTAACTATGTATAAACAAGTGAAATCGGGGTACTATGTTTAATATAAAAAAAATACACTTGCGAGTGTATTTATTTATACTAAACTACCAAAAGCATGATTGTCAAACTATATTATTTTTTTAACTTACTGATGTCATTGTAGACTTTATTAAATTGTCTCAAAGTACTGAGAATACTTTAATAATATTTCTTTATTTCATAATCGTATAGGAACTTTTCTTACTAATATTTTTTCCTCATAATACTTTAGTAGAGTTTGGTAGACAGTTTTTGTTTAAGACAAAAGTAAACATTTGTCTGAATTTTGTGGCCGACATTTAGCCTGAACCAATTTGAGAAATTAACTAGTATTGCTAGTACGGTGCCGTTATATGTGTATGGCTCTTAAAATATTTTTTTGTCATTTTTTAATGTTCATTTTTAAATCAGTGACGTAAATTGCTTAATGGAAAGCCTATTTTTGGTAATTGCCCATTTAACAAACTATGCTGAGGTCATATTACTTCTTATAAGGGAGACTGTATGCACTTAAAAGATTTAAACTTGAATACATAGAGATATTTAACCAAATCAATTAAATTATTATAGTTTTAGCAATTCAATAAACTTTAAGTAGTAATAATTAAAGTTTATTGAATTTTGTTTTAATTCCATCCAATTCATCCACCATCCAACATCACAACAATTATAATTCTAACTGCATGAATAAAACAAGTGCCTTACTGTGCACATGGTTCACACAATGTAGTGGGAGTGCGCTGGATAATATTAGATATTCACTATAATTTTATTAGATTCTAATACAGTCTTGCCCTCAAATAGCATAGAATGTTGGTAAATATCACTAATACCCGGGGAAATTGGACATTATATGAAAGTGTTGTTAGTCAGAAATATTGTTTAATTAACTTTAACATTAAGATGTCTTTAACATTATTACATTGCCATATCACCAGTGTAATAACATTTTAATTATTTTAATCATAGCAGTTCTCTGCAATTATTAAACTAGTCCTTAAGGTTGGACTAATTTATTACAATCTAAATAATTTGTCGAAAAGTGGATTTATATTTATTTGTTAACATTTCTGACTAACAATCTTGACTATGATATGTGCTGGCTATTAGGGATGTGATAAAAAATAATCTGTTATGGAAAATTCGATTACTATTTAATATAAAATCGATTAAGTAATAAATTTTATAATCCAATTAATTTATAATAGATTATTTAAATTTTTTTTTTCATTCTAGTGGTCTAAAAATAACCAGTCAAAAGAATACAAGAAAACTCTAAAAACTGGAAAAATAACCGATTAATCATAATTTTAGGCTGGACGTGCTGCATAAAGGCGGCCTCAACTCCCTCTCAGGTTCCCTCAACCGATTATTTACCGATTTATTACAAAAAAGATCGATTAATTAATAATCGATTTTTAAACAGAATTTCACATCCCTACTGACTACTAGTCTTGTGTCGTATAGCCGGCCAGCTCCTGTAGTGATTGTATTAAATATATTCTGATAGATATAAAAACTTGTTACTATTATTATTTTATAAATCCTATTTACAAATCTATTTTAGGTCTATACTGCAGTCGTAAGGGCGGATCCCGAAATCTCCATCGTGTTACATATACAAACTTTAGTGTATGGTCCTTGCCTAATAATTCATCATTGCATAATATATCAATCTGAAATAGAAAGAATTGCAAATTAAAATTCCACTTACTGGCAACATTAATAGCAATGTACCCTTTCTTATATATTTATTGATATGTTTTGTAATTGTAAATAATATAGTGTTTGTACGTTTTCACTGTATATAATGGTATGGTTTCAATTTAAAATCCTTTTAATTGTATTTGTGGACGTCTTCCGGGCTGAGTTGTTGATGATGATCTTTCATGTAGAGATAAAAAATGTAACTAAGCTAAGTTAAGTTTTTTATCTTTACGCAGTGTAAAACAAAGTCGCCGCGGCTGTCTGTTCCCTTATATCTTTTAAACTACGCAACGGATTTTAATGCAGTTTCCAGCAATAGATAGAGTGACTCAAGAAGAATGTTTGTAGATATAATACATGTACATTCGTGCTAAGTTAGGGTAGGTAGTACTTTTATAATATATTAAAATTATGAATTTGTTAATTAATCATGATTTTTTTGGTAAAATTACTAATACATAGCTAAATAGCTATGTAAACTTAAAAATCTAGAACTGATCTATTTACAAAATTATAATTGTTGTTATAGTCAAGTTGTTTATTTAAAGTGACTGTATTTAATTCATCAAATGTTATAATATAGAACAAGCTGAGAAATTAAAAGATCTGTAATGTATCTGTGTGAAGCCGGGACAGGTTGTTAGTACATAACATTACTTACTTCTCTATACTTCTCCATTCCAGTTAATACTTTCTTGGCTACAAATTTTTTAAGGTGTGTGATGGTTGCCTGGGCTGAACACCTGATAAAGCTACGCTTCAGTGTACGCAGCGATGATGATATACATTCTAGACACACATTCACCTGGAAAATAACATAAATAAATTTTATTAGTGTATTTGGAATATCAGACAAGCTAGTATTCCACCTCGTGGTAAGTGGTAACCATTGCCTATATACACAACCAATACTATGAATGTTACATTTTCATTTAAACTTTTATTTTTGTCCTGTGGAAAAATCTTCAAGACTGTCCCAAAAAATGTCAAACACTTTGTATTTTCATTGGAATGTTATCCTTGCGCAAGGGCCTTAGCTTGGCCTGTATCATTCTAATTTTAGTATATATACTAGGTTGCAAGTACATTATATTATTTTCATGTGGACATAGTGATACAGTGCATGCTTCACTATTCAGAGGACTGAGATGTCATGTCACTTATATTAATTCCTTGTCTTTTCATCCATTACAAAGCATGCTTAAATAGCTGTTAATAATTAAATGTGTTATAATGTTTAACATATTACTTGCCATATGATAATTTAATATTATCAGTAACATGTAAAATTACACTATAAATCTTCCTGAAATAATATAAAAAATTACATATAAATGACACTCATTTATATGTAATTTTTTATATTATTTCTTTATTTCTTATTTTTATAATATTTCAATGTGAAACTTTATGTAGAAATAATACTCATACAAGATTGAAGGTTCCTACACTTTCAATTTTAATGAATAAGTAAGACACAATGACGATGAGATATTAATAGGGGAGTAATTAGGAAACTTTTGATACAATATATATATATATATAATAATCCCATACCTGTTCATCCTTTCTATGACAATCTGTGTTATCAGGCTGCTCTTGTTCATCTCCAGCCCCTGGTTTGTCGGCAGCGAGAGCCGCATCCTTGGGGCATGGCAGGTTCCTTGCTCGATAGAAGTCACGCTCCCGTTTCATTTCATCTTGATTACAATATTTTATATTAAAATATATCATATAAATTTAATTTGTTTGTTTAAAAATCAACAAGCAATATTGTAAAGTGAACAGAATATGAAAATAGTATAATAGTAAGAAAATTAGTTTTCCATTTGCAATATATTTAATAACATGTATGTTTTATAAATAAAACTGATTGGACAAGACTTTCTAGAGACAGAAGGTGATGGAAATCACTGGCTCCTCCAGTGACTGACTCTTCTAGACTTTGTGTCCAAAGTCTAAAACAGGGGACTGATGTGAGTCTCTCTTAGATTACCTTTTAGATAAATCTATCTTAAGTTCAACTTTATAACACAGTCTGTGTATCTATTTTTTGTAATTAGCCTCTCATTTGTGCTATTTTTATATTAAATTTAATTAAGATCTGTTAAATAGTTTGGTTGCGAAGCATAACAAACAGACAAGCAGACAATCTGATTTATAACAATAGAATGGATTTATGAATACTAGAAAAATGTGTTATTAAGTTTAAATTAACACTTAAAACATTCTCTACCTTCTTAATAATACAAAGGTGTAATAAGAAAAAAATGTATATGAAATAAATGAATATATGTAAAATGACAATTATAAGCACTTACTGTCTTGCAAGTCGGGGACCAGTTTGTAAACAATATCTTGCATGGTTCGATCGAAACTTATATACTGTAATGGGTGAGATTGGTGGATGACAATCTTGCATGTTGGACAAGTGTTGTTTTCTTCTAAATGTTTTACTAGGCAACTTTTGCAGACTGTAATTTAAAATTTTTAGGTTATGTACTCACAACTTTTTTATTCTGCATATACTTGGATTATCATTATAATTGCATAAACTTTAAGTACAAACAAATTCAAATTGTTTTATAATGATGCCTAATGCATAAATACAATATTTATAACATATAAAGTACAGAAATATAGTTAATTTATGTGACATAGAAAAATATTTTTGAAAGGGTGAAGAACTACTAAATGATTGTAAATGTAATGGTCAGACAGGCAAAGTAAATTACATATAAACAAAAACTAACACGTATGAAGACATTCCGTAACCGTGGTAGCGTCAATGAAATAACCGCGACATATCTTGCACGTAATGTGACTGTTTAAAGTCTTTAACTTAATTCTTCTTTCCATTGTCATCCTAAAATTATGACTAAAGCAAAAACATTAGGTTAACAATTGAAAACTTATTAAAAACAAATTAATTAGAACATAAAATAATCTACGATCAGTCAACTCAACGTTTTACGTTTTGTTATTTTATTACTATGGTCGACAACTGATGTCAATTATTAGCAGTACTTTGAAGAAAATAACAAAATAATCAATCAAATACTGTAAATTATTTAAATTACATATTAATAAAAAATTATAATAATTAAAGATATGTATAAAAAATGTCTTGCAAGTAGTAAAATATAATTTCCTATGTAAAATGCTCAATAAATAAAATACTTTGCAAAAACTAAACGCTGTGTCCACAGACCATGACATTCTGTCTACAGATTACAGCAACATTTGTACGGTTTTTTAATCTAATCAAAAGTACGATTGCTAGACAAATATAATTCTTTTCCCGAGCAAGTGAATAAGTAGTTACTTCTGAGCGGATTACATGTATACAACAAAGGGTAGTAGAAATTCATAATGCATACAATTTTAATGTGCGTCATATTGTTAAACATCGGTTACCGGCAATCGGAGGCGTCAGCGCATTTATAAACCTATTTTTTTTAATGTATGATAATGGAATGATGCACCCGCTTACGCTAACAGTTTACGCAGTACGCTGGCAGAGCACCAGTGGAGGATGATAAGATGAGCATAAGGTCAGGTCAGTTAGCCAGTGACAAATTCACCATTATAAATCTTTTGTCTGTTTTACGAAAAATTAAATAAATGGTGTATGTCTAACTCTTATTGTACTTAAAAACGGCATAGGTGGTCTAGAGGTTCAGCACACCGCTTTTCTTCCGATGGGTTTGATTCCTCGTACTGTAAACATTTATATTCATGAGTATGATTGTTTGTATTGAACTGGGCGTTTTCTATTATAGTTGTCTAGTACTAATAACACAAGGTCTGCTTACCTTGGAACTAGATGGCGTTGTGTGAATAGTCCAGAGGTATTAATATTATTAAAAAGGCTTAGATAAGAATCGTTTCTTTTTCTATTAGGGTAAGGTATGAGTAAAAAACATTTAAATTTTGAAATAAGTAGATTCACAAATAGATTTACATATATCACAATTTACAAAACGAATAAATAATAATTTAATACCTTAGGTACTATAAATATCACATAATAGTAATTATTATTATGTGTTCACAATAAAAAACATTCCTTAAGTTTACCTGATTTGTGACAGATCTATATAATATCATAAGTGTTAAATTAGGCAATAAAACTAACATAGATAAATCTCATACTGAATAAAAGAAAAAAGATTTTACAAATAAATGAATAAAACATTTCATAAAAAAAACTAAAAATGAGATATTTCATTTTGAGTAAATTAATCACAAATACATGTATAAAATAGCATTAGATAAGTCTTAAAAATTGCTGTAAAGGCAACCTGAATTTGTAATATATTTAATTTGAATATGGGTTACCTGATCATATTATATGAAGATAATAATTTTGTTGTATAAAATAGATCAGGTATTAAAGTCTACGAGTATGTGTTACATATTCGAACTGTACTTAATTTTTATTGAGGTAGATATTTTAATTAGGACCCTACACAATATACGGTATCGAATCGTAAACTAAAATACATGGCACATCACTAGGACCCATTACATTTCTCTGTTACATTCAAAATGTGAGCATGAGTTAATTTATCCTCAATGTTTACATTATCGTTTTCTGAGATCTTTTGGATATTATTATCGACTACAGTCCAAAATTTATTACTACCGTTGTCTAATACCACTTTATAATGATCTGACGAAGGCACAGGAGCATTCGCTTTCAAATGGTCCCTTTTAAAATGGCGGCTTAAATGACTACACTGTGAGAATTTCCGTTCACATATTTTACACTGGTACTTCTTCTCGCCTGTGTGGACAGTCTTATGTTGTTTGAGAGCGGATGATGTATAAAATGATTTGCCACACTCGCATGAGTAGTCCCTCTGGCCTTTATGACGTTTCAAGTGAACACTGTATGCACTGCATGTAACGAAACCACGATTACATTCTTTACAATTGTATCTGAAATGAGAAAATAGAGCATTAATAAAGCTTTTATAATAATAACTCACCCGCCTCGGATTCGCACGGGTGTATATGTATTGTAGTATTGTAGATATCTTCCTTTCCAATTAATAATTAAAGTCTTATTCAGCATTAGTATTAACAATAATTTTCCTTACGCAACTTTACTTGTGATTTTCACTTAGCATTTATACTGTAGTATATATCTATCTAAAAACGGTATTAAAATCTAATCGAACAAACAGCAACGAACTTAAAGATAATAGTAATAATTTTTTTATTTTTCCTTTTAAGACTTTCAAGATTGTTATTCAAGGTCAATTGAATTAGGGTGGTGTTTCTATTCGATCTATTCTAACTGACTGACTGATCATCTGCTCCAACCCTAGATGAAGCTTGTGGCCTCGGGGCGAACGCCTTTGCCACGGCGTCATTTTACGGCGAAAAAGTATAAAATAAAATAATGTTACATAATTATTTTATTTTATACTTTTTCTACTTTTACAAAAGTGGAGCAATTCCATTGATGTGGTCTTTACAGCTTTTCCGGCCGTAAAACGGGGCACTTCAAACTACTTAAGATCAATTCCTGCCTGACAGATATGTCTATATACTGTCTCAGGGCAATAGGGGTTCTAACCTCGGCACAGGCCATTTTGATTTCGGTCCTCATTTAAATAGTGATAGGCAGGTTAGGGGAGAGTCTAAGGTATTGTATTTATGTAATATTCTTATTATTGTAAAAACATACTCACCTAATTTCCTTGTTATGAATCCGCTTATGAATAGACAGATTGCCGGAGGTGGCAAATGTCTTGGTGCAGAGGTTACATGAATATGGTTTCTCACCATTATGGATGCGTTGGTGCACCATTAAATCGGCTTTTATCGGGAAACCTGTAGTTTTAAAGATAATTAGAGATACATAGTGTAATGAATACAGAGTAAAACGGAAATAGCTATACAGAGAAATGTTTTATAAGAACTCAAATGTTTAAAATTTATATAATATATCCCAATAATCTGTAATGGTAACATCCGGCAATTCTTTTGTGGACTCCCGCGATGCAGTTTCACGCGGGGTCCCACAGCTGTGTAGTATTAATATAATAATAATATCCGTGTACAATTGACAAAACGTAACCTAGGCCCAAGGTAAGCAGAGATTGTGTTACGGATACTGGACAACTGGTATAAATACTTAGATATATATTTTTTGTAAATACATACAGAATATACATAGAAACAACCTAGACCTATATGTCTCGTGAATACAAATGTTTGTATCGTGCGAGGAATCGAATCCGCAACTGTCGGAAGTAAAGCGGTGTGCTAAATCGCTAGACTACCGAGGTCAATATTTAAGTGTCGTAATAACTAACTTCTTATAGTCATATATTCATGGGCTTTGAGAATATTCAAATCATATAAAGTGGAAAATAAAATCTGTGATAAAAAAAAATAGAATTTTAAAAGAAAGTGTAATCACATGTATCATACACGCAAGCACGCGCGAATAAGCTGTTTACTTTTTTTTGGACTTGTGATTTGTGATTGCGCGCTCGCTGACTTTCCCGCGCTAAATCGTGCGCGCTCTCAATAGCGCGTGAAAGAACGTCTTGTGTAAAGGCAGTATTTAGTAACAAGTAGGTGGTAAACATACCTTTTCCACAGTCCTGACAAAGGAATGGTTTATCACCATTGTGCCGTTTCATATGTATGGACAGTTGCGCGCTCTGAATGAAACTTTTGAAGCATATATCACAACTATATTGTTTTTCACCTGTAAATACACATAAATGCTGTTAACTGCATCTGTATCCGCGTATAAATTAGGTTATTTTAAAATTAAAATATATAATTATAAAATTAGGTAACTGCGAGTGAAATTCCCGTCAAAATCGGTCCGGCCATTTCAAATATTAGCAAAAACAAACAGACAGACAATTTTTAAATATATCTTTTTTATCTTTCCTAGGTGTGTATAATAAAGAATACTTCCATATGCATTCAGTGAAAAGCTGCAAATTTTAAATTACAAACAGACAAATGTTATTTATTTGTATAGATACCTGTATGTATCCGTACATGGTTGATGAGCCCCGTCCGACGGCTGAATCTCTTCGAGCAGAACTCACAGTGATAAGGTGTATCACCGCTGTGTACTTTTTTATGTTGAAACAAAGCACTGTGTCCTCTGTAAAAAAGAGTTTATTTATTATTTATGTTGTCTGGGTCTTACCTCTCTCTTTTGGTAAGAACAGGTAAATAAATACCTTTGTTTACCATAAAATTATTCATGCTAAGACCCGGTTAATAAAAGAAATAATGTATATTAAACACAAAGGTTATATCTCGGAATATGGTACTAGATTTTTTTTTTTTTAAGGACATAAAGTCTACTTATTAATGCGAAAAAAGGGTTGAAAGTTTGTATGAAAGTATCATCATTTATAAAGAAAGGAAGAATTTCTTATTTTTTAAATTTGTTGTTGTCATTTTTGAAAGTACAACGATGTAACTTTTTTTTCTTTGACTATTTGGGTTATGAAATATAATTTCTTTATATGTGTCATGATTATAGCCGGAAGGGCTGATTGCAGATAGAAAAGAATAGAATATAAAAAAAAATCGTGTCATTGTTTTATTTATTTCATTCATCAATAGTAGATTACCTTTGAATTTAGATATTATTACATCAAGGATTTTAATAAGCTATTTACAGTGTTTCACTGAACTGAAGCTTATTGAAGTATTTATATGTATGTATCTTAATATTTGTCTTAATAATAAACCTAAAAATTAAATATGCAAAGCTGGTAATAATAAAATCGATAAAACATTCTTTATCTTACCTAAATGTTGCGGGACATTCTGTGCATTTATACGGCCTCATGTCCGTATGGCAGATCTTGTGAGCCTTAAGATTACTCTTCGTGCTGAGGAACTTTCCGCAGATGTCGCATTGGTGTGGTTTCCGAGCATCTGATATACTCTCCGCATCTAGTAGGAACATAATTACTATCATAAAGTGCATATACATAGTTAAACACATACATTGAACTCAGATATTTTGTATGCAATGGACCATCCAAGTTGAAGCAGCTGTAGGAGCTCCACTCCAGTATACCAGAATGGTAGCCAGTAGGGAAGGTAGAAATAGTGAGTTCTTGTTGGGGAAGTGCATGGAAGTCAATTTGACATGATACATTGCTAGCAATGGTCCATCCATATTAATAACAATCTCCTTTCCCCTTATGTATGTATTGAGGAGGATCATCATAATTTTGTACAAATATGATGGGGGAAATTTCATAGTTAGTTCTTTATGTCCCTAAAAGCAAAATCAAGCTTTAATTTTTCTTCACATAACCATATGCATGCATATTCCTTCTAAAAATTAATAAAATCTCTACAAATAACGAACCTTTTTTCTTCCTTCCTCTTTTCTTTTTAGGTTTCTCTACTTCTTTCTCACAGTTCTGCTCTTGTTCTCCAGTATCAGGACTCTGTCTTAATTCCTGCAGTAGAGTATCATCATCTGCATCCCAGCAACTATCATTGACATGATTAAAATCTGGTTCTGGAAGTTAGAGTAATTGTTGCTTTAATATACATTTATACATACATCCTTTCAATTGTTCTGTCAAAATGACATTAATGCCCCATCTGTGACACCAATTACAGGACTTCTCACAAAACAGGTTAAAAAAAATATTGGATGTAGCATCAGAGTTCAATAATTGGGTCCTTCGCAGATGAGAAGATATAGATGTCATCATCATTGCCTTGCCTTTATCCTATTATTTAGTGCTGGTGCAGTATGTCATCCCCTTCCTGACCCCTATTGGACATCATATGAGCATACTCTTCTATTATACTTATTATCTTTCACACCATCTACACTTACTTTCTTCTACTTATTTTCTTTCATCCATTCATCTTATTTTGGTTGTCCTCTCCCTTTCCATTCTTTTATGTTCATGATGACATGATGTGTAATAATGGTTAAAAGGATTGACAGATTATAATAAAATTTTATATAAAGATAGTTTATGTTACAGCTACTTTATGTTTTATAGCTATTAAACTATAAATATTGGCTTCAAAGCATTAACATTAACTTATGAAAGACATACAAATGGCAGAATTGAAAGCCCACACTCACCTGTTTTAACATCATTATTGTCATCCTTATTCACATTAGATTTATTAGTGTTTGCAATGTCACTGTTAAGTTCGGTCAATTCAAATTTCACCTCAATCTTTATTTCTTCATCTTTCAATGCGTTGCCATCTGTTTCATCAGTATTATTTGGCAAAAATTTCTGAGCACTATCTTTTTTTGATAATATATGAATTTTTAATTCTTTCTCACTGTCCTCACATTGTTTATTGAATGCATACGATCTTTTCAGCTGCCTGCTACATTCTTTACATATTTGTCGGGGTAATCCATCTTTTTCGTGAGGCTATAAATACACCAGGAAACATTTATTACAATGGTGTTAGATTACATACAGATTTCAATCAAGTGTAATACTCACCTTTAATGTAGTACATTCAGATAGCATATCACTATAAAAAGTGTTCCTTTTACTAGAAAAACTAGTAAAAAGATCAACTGTTTGTTTGGATGAATCCAGACAAATACGACATATTTTGGAGAAGTCCATCGTAATTGGTAATTATAATTTTGTGTTTTTAATTCTAGATACTAGCAGTAATACATTAAAGTCTTCGTGCTCTTCCGTCTTTCATTTTAAAGCAATTTTCTCTTATTATAATACGTATAAAATAATATTATGAAGAAATGAAAACAAACTTTATGTTACACACAGTCAGTCAATTGTAGATATTTACGAATGTGTTCGCACTATCAATCTCTCAGTCAGTCTACTGTCAGTTGTCATTTCGGCAAAATATATGTGTTTGTATTTTGCTTGTTAGAATAATATTCTAAATTAAATAGAAAACAATAGGTTGAACCTATTTATGTTTTAATACCAGTGAGAAATAAAAAATTATTAAATATGTCTGCTCTACAGAAAAGTATATTGAGAAATAAATTACCGCCTAGGTGTCCTAGAACTTCGGGTATAACAAAGTGAGTTATAATTTAAATATTAATAAAATTTATGAAACTGCTATAAGATTATATTTATTCTCATTTTTATTTATTTGTAAATTTCTATTTATATTAAATGCTAAACATAATAATGTAGTTTCTAGTATTTTTAGTATAATGCTACGTGTGTTGATTTTCATATTTTAAACACGTCAAGTCCTACCAAAATGTAAGCATTACTATGATTGGAAGTAGATAATTGTAGAGATGTATGCATCTCTAGCATTATCTCCTTCAAGACGCAATAAAGTTCAATCAAGCTGATACTACCAGAGGATACCATTTCATTTCATTTTGACACCATTATCACAATCAATCGGGGAAAAAGGTTGCATTACATTGCAAGTAAAAATGATGATGATTTTCCTAATATCATGCTATGCACGCATGTTACTTCTTAGGTTGGCTCCATTCAGTGGGGGTCGCCGTAAGGACTACACTCCAGTATCATGGAAAAAGTATTTCGAGAGATATGTAGATGTGGATACAGAGGGAGGTGTATTCAGGGTGTACCTATCACCAGAACCTGACCATCCTGAAAGGCCGAGAATTATCACATTACATGGCGGTGGCTATTCAGGGTTAAGCTGGGCTCTGTTTACTGTGAGTATATATGTAATTTCATGTATTAAATTTTGTATTTAGAATAAAAATAGAATAGCAAAACTTTTGAATAGTTATCATATTTTTTTCATCCACCACACTTCTGTCTCATCACAAGTAGAATGAGCAAGAAACTTGCTTGTTGCTCTTTTTATTATACTAAAATAAGTTTTTTTTACACTATGACATTAGCAAATAAGCATATATAGTCCATATGATGGTAAATGGTTACCATAGCCAATGGATGCCTGAAACACCAGGGGTGTCAGTTTACAGACAAGCATATCTTATATTCAACAGTCAACTGTTAATTATGAATAGATATATATTTTATTGAATCATTAAATTACTTATTGTATTTATATTTTTCTGTTAATGGTAACCTATGATTTAGTTATTAATGTGCTATAAAACATTCTAACAATTTTTTTCATATGTTCATCTCAAATGAAAAAAAATTGTTAGCACAGCAATCTTGATTTGTTTGGTTATTTAGTCTAACTTTACATACAGATAGTCCTTACAGAGAACATTGGCATAATCATATATGGCTAATATCAACAAAAAGACTTTATTCCATCTTTCTATACTTGTTACTTTACTATTTATATTATATGTCCAACACTCATGCACTACTTTTGTACTATTGCCTGTTAATTACCAATGAAGTCATTTAGTCAAGTCAAGGTAGATTGGTTCGAAGAGATCTCCTTCAAATATAATCCTACCCTTGCAGACAATTGTTTTTAATATTCATGTACTACTTTAACAAGTGCAATAAAGAGTATATTGTTTCTGTTTTTCTAAAAAATGTTTCTAAAATATTTCTATTGTTATAGGAAGAAGTAACAAGTATGATCCACTGTCAGGTGATATCAATGGATATTAGAGGCCACGGTGAAACAAAAGCCAAGAATCCTGATGATTTAAGTATAGATACATTAGTCAGGTAAAACATATTAACAAACTGTTTTATATTATACATGTTTACTTCAGAATTCGTGAAAGAATTATGTATAAAGACGTGAAAGAATTATGTGTAGAATAAAATTGTTATACAGGTTGTTGCAAAAGTATAAAGTTGGAACTCTTGAGTTATAAACTCAGCATTAATTATAATAATATTACTAGCTGTTGGCATCTGCTTTTTTGAGATTAAAAGATGAACTATGCTTATTCTCTTGATGTAATCTACTTTTACATCAAAATTCATTACAGCCATTTAGGCATGAAGTAAAAACTTTCGCATTCATATTTTGTAAAAAAAATATATCAGTATACTCCTATGTGTAGTAAAAAAAGTTTTCTATGTCAGCTAGTAATGAGTTTACTCAACTCAAAACTTTAAAACTTTAGCACAAGAGGCCGAAATATCCTATGTTAATACATAGAACGGAAGCGGAAAGACACCATTATTTTTTTTATCACTGAGCCTACCATCCATTTTGCTAGATACTTCAGTTGAGAAGAACTGGCATGAAACTCAACTGGTATTGTTTTAATGTCATAAAGTAAATAATATAAACAATTCTAGAGATGTGGAACAAGTACTACAGAAGTTGTTTGGTGAAGACTTACCATTACTAATTCTACTGGGCCACTCGATGGGCGGTGCCGTTGCCGTCCGTGTCGCACATCTGCCGTCCTTACAACCGTGTGTACAGGGGCTCGCTGTCATCGACGTCGTTGAAGGTTATATATCATCATATTAATTAATTAATAAACTCAGGAGAACAACTATTATATAACTCAAAGGTGACTGACATAGTGATCTATCAAAGCACAGCCCAAACCACTGGACGGATCGGGCTGAAATTTGGCATGCAGGTAGATGTTATGACGTAGGCATCCGCTAAGAAAGGATTTTGATTAATTGTATTATAAGAAAGTATTTTGATAAAATAGGGAATGAAAGTTTGTATGAAACTTTGTCAATTTTAAACCGATCGGGCTGAGACTTTGCATACATAAACCTACTATGACGTAGGCATTCCCCAAAGGGGATAAATTAACGCGAGCGAAGCCGCGGGCAAAAGCTAGTCATATAAATACGTGAAGCAAAAACTTTGTACCCCTTTACGAAAATTACGCGGACGGAAGAGTATACAATTTCGTTACATTTTAGTTTGTATAGGGAAGGAGTACAGAATAATTCATTTAAATCAACAAAAACTACCATGTATTTGACACACATTGTCGGGCGTAATATGTTTTTCTTTTCCATTCGTCCCTGTTCGCAGTAATCTCGTTATTTACTCCCTTTCTTACTATATCATCTTTCACACAGTCCATGACATACATTTCATTTATGAACATAAAAAATAATATATTACAGGTACTGCAATGGAAGCATTAACTAGTATGCAAAGCTTCCTAAGAGGGAGGCCCACACATTTCAAGAGTATTGAACATGCAGTAGAGTGGTGGTGAGTATATTTAATACAATTATAGATTTAAAGTTACAAGCAGATAATATTTTTTTCAAAAATATATTTAATGACATCAAAACATACTTTTTTTTTTTTCGGACTACTCTAATGCTGTTGGCCGCAGCTGGTCTTTACAGCTTCACCGGACGTTTGGGGGGGGAGTGCATTTGGCACTCCAAACCCGCGGAAGGACTTATGGAGCGGCTGAAGGCCAGCTCCTGCCTGACGGATACGACTTTAGTCTTTAGAGGGCACCACTAGGGGTTCAAACCTCGGCTTAGGCCGTCGTAATTTCGATCCCCATTTGAATTGGACGGCGGATCGATCGGAGGGGCGCCCGGGGGCGCCGGTGTGGAGCGCCCGGACGAGCGCAGGCGCCTGGTTGATTGCGCGATATGGTGTGTTGGGGGTCGTCGTCTTCGCCGGCGAGGACGGTGTCGTGTGTGTGTATAAAAGTGTGGTCGGGGTGGAACGGGTGGGCCCGTAGGGAGATTTCCTGCCGTTATGGGGTCGTCGGGGTCAATGAGTGCGTGAGTGAGTGAGTCCTCGGTGCGTAGTCGACCGCACTGACTATAAGCTGGTTAGGATCAAAACAGACTGTGTGAATTGTCCTGATATATTATTATTAATATTATTAGGAAACATTATTAGTAATATATCAGGAAAATTCACAGCGCCATCTAGTTCTAAGCTAAGCAGAGTTTGTATTATTAGTATTAACGAACTGTTCATCATTGCCTTGCCTTTATCCTATTATTTGGGGTCGTCGCAGCATGTCATTCTCTTCCACTGCTCTCTATCGGTCGTCATATCTGAATCTTTCACACAATCCATCCATCTTTTCTTAGGGCGTCCCCTCCCTTTACATCCACCCACATTCATATTATACAGTATTATCGAACTGTTATAAATGATTAAATACATGTTTTTGTAAATACGCACATAAATAAATAGATATCTAGACCGATTCAAACAATCATACTCATGAATACAAGATTTGTACCGTGCGAGGTCTTCAATCCGCCACCGGTAAAGCGATATGTTAAAGCGGTTTTCTACTCACCGCTATTCACCCCTCATGTTACTGGCAGCTTGTCTACCATTCTTTTTATAAACTTTATATTTTTTATATGTCACTTTTGACCATATATTGTTTTGTTACTTCTTGCTGTGAGCCCTTTTGGGAAGAATACACATTTCTACTAGTATTTGGTTTTTATTAAAATAGTAGTTGTGTTCCCGCTCCAGTAACACCTCATATGATCCATTGTGGTTACCACGGGCGTCATGTGAGAATAAAAATAAAGAATATGCAGCCCCACCATTGTCTTACCTCTATAGCGGCGTGAATGAGAAGTTAAGTGTGGAAAAAGCAGTCATGATACCGTTAATATAATGTTCATTTCATATTTTTCAGTGTGAGAAGCGGTCAAGTTAGAAATGTTGACTCCGCGAGAGTGTCAATGCCTGGACAAATTGTAAAGTGAGTTAATTTTGATTTTCATTTATTTATTTACTAGCAGACCCGCGCGACTTCGTCGGCATATACACTTATTATTATATATCGCTAATGTATAAGCTAAGCTATGTTACTGTAAAATTTTATCAAAATCCGTTTAGTAAATTTTGCGTGAAAGAGTAACAAACGTCCATCCATACTCACAAACTTTCGCATTTATAAAATTAGCAAACTTTCAGGCTACTAGGCCCATATTATACTTTATAGACTAACATACATATGAATTAATGTAAAACTAATATATATATTTTTATATTGAAATTGTCTGTTTGGTCACGGCATTGACAACGGCAATCTGCCACGGTAGCGCCGACACACTACACCCTTCGGCCAGTATTTCTCCTTCATGAAGGTGGGATAATAATCTTATATCTAATGTAATGCTTACACACGCCACAGACTGTATAAAGTTGTCTGAGGGTACCTATGTCTCACCTACTTCTATTGTCAGTTTGTTATGTAAGCTGTGTTTTAGTTAAAGGGTTTGAAATATGGCAGTGAAATTATAGGATAAAGCGTTACATTGTAGTCTCCCAAGGAATGGTAACGCATGAGTGCTACTCTACCACGGGATGATGTAGTGTTTATGGGGACAGTGAACACACAAAATACTTTATCTATCTGTATTTGTTACAGCTGTCAAACAGGCGAGCTGGCAATCAACGAAGTAGATTCATATATACCGGACAGCAACGCTACAGGTCCCGAGCCCACTAGGCACACCACGCGGGCTGACTCCATCGCCGAGGAAGATGATGAGTGCAGTGAACCACCTTCTCCCAGTGATGAGTTCGTGCAACCAGCCGCTGTAGGGGACGGGAATACTACTATGAAGTTAGTATTATGTATTTTTATTTCTACAACAGCCAGGGCCGCACAGGCCGTTATTTTTATATATTGCATATAAAGGAGTAAAAATTCGTAAACCGCTTTATTTCAGAAAGGTTCGATTTTTATTTTGACGGCCTCGATGGTCTATAGCAGTAAATGCAACTTGCACAAAATATGACCATACCACCTAAGTCCAACTTTATTTTAGCTTTTCGGTAATAGGTATCACTTCGAAGTTAACTCCTTACATCTCCAATAGACTACTGCTATTGAATAAAAACAACATATGCATGATGACCAGGGCCCTCACAGGACACTGCAAATTAAACAAGCATATGGCAAACTTAGGCCTGTAAACAACAAATATCTGCAGATTCTGCCAAACTGAAGAGGAAACGCCACTACACATCCTATGTGGTTGTAACCCATATGCACTGATGAAGCATAAACGAAATATCTCCTTTGGAAAGTTTACACCAGGAGATAAAAACTATCGCTCCTAAGAATATCCTTCAATTCTTGTCCCTGACGGGTCTAGGCAGCGAACTTTGAAAAAGGGCGAGCACAATAGATCTATGTAGGTCGCAGTGCTACAAACATCTGATAATAGCCCAAACATCCCAATAAAAAAAAGAAAACTCCTTACATGCTCGTTTAGCATAAATATTTCAGTAGGGTGTAGTTTTTAAATTAATGAATTTCCAGCATTGGGCGACTACTACTTATTATTAATTGCACTAATATTTGGTACAGATACAAATGGCGGATTGACCTGTCAGGCACGGAGCGTCACTGGGCGGGCTGGTTCAGGGGACTATCAGCTGCTTTTCTGGCGGCTCCAGCTCCTCGTCTGCTGCTGCTCGCGGCTGTCGACGGGCTCGACACTGAGCTGGTGGTCGGACAAATGCAGGGTATGTCTTTGGGATTTTCTTAAGATCCGGCTGAGCTGAGAGAGAAACACAAGTGAAGGCGAGTGTTGACGTGCGTCGGCAAGGGATAAAATCTACACCCGGATCATAAATCCTGGGAACTGTTCGGAGTTTCCCTCTCTGCCACACTTTGGACCTGCGCGCACGGTGAATCCATGGAATGCTAAGAAGTTCCTCTTTCTTATGATGGAATGATGTTCATGCGTTACATCGTGTTAGCAAGTGGCATTGTTTCCGGACTTGGGACAATAACAGAATACACTGCTAGCAATAGAACCACTGGGGGGGGGGGGGGGGGGGGGGGGGATTATTAGTAACGGCAACCTGACATAGTACATTTTTAGAAATATACCATATCAGGTTGACGAGTTCCCCATGGAAACGATCTAATAAATATAAATTGTGATTTGCCCAGATAGGCTAACTGCGTTCAAGCTCATTTTATCGTTCTCCACTGGCGCCCCGCCAGCATAGATCGTTGACGCAAACAGGTATACCGTTACATTAGTATCGTAGAATATATTTATTTGTGCAGGTAAATTCCAAATGCAAGTTTTGACGAGATGCGGCCACGCGGTGCACGAAGACTCGCCGGGAGAGGTACGCTTAATGCTTACTCAGCTTTCACGGCACAAACATTTGTATTCATGAGTATGATTGTTTGTATCGGTCTGGGTGTTTACTATGTACAATATGTATGTAATTACGTAAAAAAATCTATGTATTTGTATCAGTTATCTAGTACTCATAACACAACTTGGATCTAGATGGCGCTGTGTGAATTGTCCTGGGGTTATTATTAATATATATAAAATATTTGTGTCATAAGAGAGTTGGTTGTGTTGGTAGGTGGCGCGCGTGGTGGCGACGTTCGCGCTTCGCCACAGACTCACCACGACCACAGAGCACGGCGAGGACATGCATATCACCGGCGTCTCTATACCCGGATGCTGAACACTCACTCATTCCTTATCTCATTCTTTAACCCACTTGTTTGACAAATGGATTTAGCCGGGTCTACTATTGTCTGATTTTTTATCTGTTTAGAACATCCGGTATGTTTGTTTAGCTACCGAATTTGTTGAGATTATTATTAATTATACACCGATTTCAATTTGACGTATCTGTATTTCAGACAGCCAAAATCTTTACAAAAAAATTAGAGCGCCATCTATCTTGATCTTTCTGTATTTTTATTAAATGCATCAATTTTACAACAGGTACATTCATTTTATCGAATTAGGTGTTATTTTACGAATGGCCATTTCGTTGCTAAATGGAATTATATTATTTGTTTAATTCCGCTACCACCAGCATGTGTGAGACCATAAGTATTCAGTGCGGAAACCTGACCACTAATTTAATATTAAATCTTCAAATTAGACCCGTTAACTGGATAGAAAGTTCGAGTTTTCTAATGACATATTTAATTAGTAAACCTGGCATGTTTTTTAACCTAATAATTTTTACATAGTGTAGAATGAAGTCTCTTTCGCTGTCTGTTAGCTTAGTTATTTTAAACTACTCAATGAAATTTTAATACAGTTTTAGCAATAGATAGAGTGATTCAAGAGGAAGGTTTATATGTATAATATATGTTCACCCATGTGAAGCCGGGGCGGGTAGCTATTTGTGTATAAAACGAACAAATAGAATATGTTTTTTATGTTAACAATAAAAAAATACTTAAACAATCTCATCATATTAAGGGGCTTATTACACTGTCACAATTATAGGATCCTTATATAGAATAAAGATACTGTGTGGATACAAAGTGATCTCACTAGAATATTACTATAGTAAAAATGACGAGTATTGGGTCATTAGCTTAATAAATTCATAATCTAGATATGATAGTGTATAATCCCCTTAAAAATTAATGTTTACTGTAGCATCTCCCATACAATAAATAGTAGATAAATATCAACAATTTCATATATGTGTACATATTTTTGTAGATGTTTAGACATAATATTGTGTTGTTCTTATATCCGGCAAACTTGAGTATTATTGAATTGAATATGTACCATAAATAGTTAGTATAATTAGCTATATATTTATTTACATTAAAACTGTTAAGTCTTCTAAAGAAATATTAATGTTCTGTGGATGTAACACGTCAAGAGAATGTTGCATATTTTATTTGTACTAATAATTTTCAGTACTATAAAAATGTAGCGGATAATAAATTAGTAAACAGTATCCATGTTTTTAACTCATTATTTTTAGATCTTTATTTCCGTCCGAGGCGCAAATTGTCAATAGAAATTAATTTCTTACTTTAAACTACTAGATTTATTCTCGATTAGCTAATAAAAAGCAATTGTACAATGAGATCGTTATTTATTTATTAGTAATATAATGAGCACTTATAAATACAGTAGTTTAAACTGACATCCTATTTTCATTCATTACCACAATTAGCAGTTATTAAAAAAATATGAGAGATTTTGCTGTGAACGCAGTTGTAAAATAATAAAAAAAAAAATGTGTGAACGCAGTTATGTGATAAAAAAAATTACCCATAATTCTTCTTATTCCATACGCTCTTGACAGAAAGGTCATTATGTAGTGGAGTGAGAGGCAGATGTCATCCGCCTTTTGAGAGCTTGCTATTTCCCCCTACTGGCTGCCATCCTGGTACACTTGTGGAGTGGACCATTTTTTTTTTATTGGATTGTTTGGGCTATTGTCAGATGTGTAGCACCTGTAGCACTGCGACCTATATAGATCTATTGTGCTCGCCCTTTTCAGAGTTCGCTACCTAGACCCGTCAGGGACAAGAATTGAAGGATATTCTTAGGAGCGATCGTTTTTATCTCCTCGGGAAAGAGTGTACCATAATAATACATATAATAGATATAGAAACCGTCAACCAGAAAGGGTAACATTGGTTGAAATCGAGTCTTCATTAAAAACAAAACGCCGCAGGGGGGCAAAGATTATTAGTAATGTGGATAAATAACCGCATTGCTAGCAAAGTGCCACGTCAGGTTGGCCTCCACACGTTTCCCCCTTGAAACCATCCTGTTACATTCCTTATGAATTTGCCACGATGGGCTAACTGACCTGACCTCATGTTCATCTTCCACTGGTGCCCCGCCAACGTATACCGTTAGCGCTGGCGGGTGCACCATTCGATTATCATCCATTATATAAAGAAAAAAGTACACAGCAGAATTTGCTCATATAAAAGCATTTTAAACAAGAAATCTGTATAAAATTATGTTAATTGAAGTACATATGTTACACATATACACTTCATGTTTTTTCTAATGTATTTTCTTTTAAAAGTGACGATATATACAATATATTTGGAACGTTTTCATATACGTAGACAAGGAATTTAGGTAGGCTACTAAAACAGTTTTAAATTAAAACAAGTATTTAATTTAATATTTATTAAATTAATCAAGATGAATGATTCTATCATATAAACAATACTACGAGTCCTTGGTAACTGTAAAGCAACAAATTACATTTGTACGCTTAGTAAAATGACTAGCAAACATTTAAGTAACGATTACATAACGATAATATAACAGATCATATATTATAATTGATTATAACGGTTCCGAATTATTTAACGATGTTAATAACAACTCTGAACAACTTTAAAATTGGTTTTTATTACTCATTTAAGAGTTGCAGATGCGTATAAAATGATAGAAATAGAAATAATCTTTATTTAAATAAACTCAATATAATCATTTTTTTTAAGTCATATTTTCTTGATTCTACAACTCATGTGAAACGCAGACTTTAACACAAAAAGAATGTACAAGAAAATTGCGTATTGATCTTTTACATAAATGATATGATATGAGTTGATGGTTAGCAAATGCAATTGTTAAATGGTCCCTACATAACTGAAAAATTGTAGATTACACGGTTCAGGCTAATAATATAATTTAGGCCCAGATAAAAGACTTAATTACTAATTTGACCATAGAATGTGTTAGTGTGGCTATAAAAATAGAATAGTCTATTCTATTCTATTTTTATAGCCACAGCGTATTTTTCCCGTCTTTACATATATTTATATAGCATATATATTTCAGCATACAATTATTACTAGTTAGCGTGCACAGATTTTCGTATATTTGGATTTAAGTTATATTAAATATTACCTTAGACTTCACTTCGTTTACTTTCTTAAACAATATATAACAATATATATATTAATAGACTATGTCTTTCCTCGTGATAGACTCTACTTTTACGTGAAATTTCATTAAGATCTATTAAGCCATTTAGTCTTAAAACGTTAGCGAACAAATATATACTTTCGCTTAAAATATTAGTATAGATTTTGAATGCACATTAACCAATAATATTGTACTTTGTTAAAAATATACAAAAATTGTTAGTAGGTTTGATCATCACTAATAATGGTATAGGCTACCTATAATTGTTACTCTTTTACTTATTAAAATCTACTAAATACAAACTCAAGTCGGACACTAAAAATAATAACACTGCAACATTTGTATTAATCACACAAGATTAATAAGAATTAGGATATTACACATTTGGCCCTAAATAACATTAGATTTAACACAGATCTTTTAGGAGATCGTAAACAAGCACAGTAGATTAGTAGTACAGTCGATTTTCAAAAAGACATTAAATTCGCAACAAGGTCGTCAATAATATGTTGAACGGGCAAATTCCAATTTAACCTTAACATTAATATAGATTTTTTTATATTATCGGCTATAAACTTGTGTACCAGATGATAATTTCAACTATTTTACACCTTATTATTCAGTATGAAGTCAAAACATTTATTAAAGAATGAAAAGATTACAAAGTATGCTAACAAATTGTGCATATTATGTGAAGCTGACTGTACTTATATTATACTCTTAATACATATTATTTCTATAATGATAAAAATCACAATCGCGATAAATTAAGGCCTCATTACACTAACAATAAAGACTAGATCTTATTTAGTGACGGCCCACCTGATGGTAAGCTATAACCGACTGTACCTATTAGGTACATGAGCAGCATTATGCACATCACATTATCACGCGATATCCATGATACCACTCATAAGTTGCTATTCCACGGAACTATGATTTCATACCTCCCATACTGCAATTTTACTGCCAAATTGCATCTTATAACCGAAAGACAGCTTACAAAGCAAGTTGCTTGGCGGCTGAAATAGGTGAGACTGAGGTACCCCACACAGACTTTTTACAGTCTTCCCTCTGGGATTCTTTATTAACTCCAATATAATGTAAAGAGGCCTTTACAAGCTCAACATTAATAGCGTATTAATAAATAAACAACCATAAAAATCTCACTATTTGTACATTAAATCTTATATCTAATAAACTAAAGTTGTTAATATATAACTTGTTAGTAAAATCTTGAAAATAAAAAAAAATCGAAAACTTTGTTAGTAAATAGAAAGCAATAAAAATAATGTATATTAAAACAAAATTAATGAGCACCATTTTAAGTATATTTTTTACGGTTCTATGATCACATTCACAATGAAGAATGGATAAGAATTAAAAATTTTTGAAATTTTAATAATGGAAGATCCTGGGAAGTGGCAAGGGCTCCACTGAGAGGGTAGCCCTTAAATTATGAATGAATGAATGTGAAATTTTAAAAGATTTTCTGTGCAGAAAAATTCCAAATAGCACTTAATCAACAAGTTAAATATAGAGTTATAAATAACAAGTTACAATAAAATTGTCTATGCTACTTACTCATTCACGTTCGTCTAGTTCACAATAGGTATTAAAAATTCACGTCTATGTGAAACGTTAACGAATGTTTTTTTTTATTATTAATATGTAACGAAGTATTAGGCATAATAACATATAAAATATACATTGAGCCAACATAGTAAATATAGTATTTTAAATAAATAATATTAACATTTAAATACTCAAATACATAAACAATTGTATCATATGTTATGTGGACACAATTACCTTAAGAAATTATACTTCAGTAACGATTCAGATCTGCAATCCAATATTTATTTATTTTAGGAAGATCATATTAAATTGTCACATGCCAATTAATAAAATAAATACCAAATAGAAATCTGTATACTTTTTCACAGATCACAGAGTTTTTTTTTTAATTTATACAACTTTGGTTTTGCGCCATAAAGCAATTACAGAATCAGTAAAAATGTTACAAGAATCTGATCTTGTGGTATTATATTTATTTGTGATTGTATGTGATTGTGATGATTTGACAGTTGCAGTCTGAATTGTTGGTGTAACTGTCAAATAGCCCAGTTCTTTAGTATCACTAGGCTCTATTCACTAGAAACAAAATATTTTTCACTTGGAACTATGATACCATTTTTTTTTATTTTAGCGCGGTATATATGCAAGTAATTGGTATGTACTCCAGTATGTTCTACAGTTTCGTCCTGCTATGAAAGCTCGCATAAGAGTGAATTAAGTGAAATTGTACATACTTTTATTTTTAATTTTCTCATAGGTTTGGAAACAAGCCGTTCTAAAAAAGTAGGTTGGTACTTATATAGGGGCGGTACCGATTCTTATAAACTGTAATGTTTTAATTACTATAAGTTTATCACGATATACAACACTGCATAAACATAAAAATAATGTTAATACATATAGTACATTTGAAGTAATTACCATACTATGAATTTTTAAAATAAAAATTATCTATTCTTTATAATACGCATATTAGATTTGGCGATGGACAACCTTATTTATACGGCGCTCTTCATTTCTTGTTTCACGCACGATTTGAACGCCTCCCAGCCTTCGTTTTTTGCGTATGACTGCAAGTAAAATGAAATAACATATTATTTACTTATTTTTATAGTATACGGGTAAGTGTTTGAGGCTTACCATTTAATTCGAACTGACACTTATATTTTATATCGATTGGGTCTCAATTATTAATCTTATTTGCCTCAATACAAATGTTGCTTGCGCGTTACAGTTTACCATCACGTGGGCCGCATGTTTGCCATTCCAATTATATAAATCTCTATTGACCCTTCATTAATATTGCCATCTGATTTCATACCTTGAAGCCCCTGTGCAGCCTGTCCTTCATGATGGCGATGAACTCCTTATAGCTGAGTAGACCGTCTCCATCCGCGTCGAATATAGCGAATACCGTGGTCACCAGGTGCTCCGACTGGGAGATACCTGTGCAGATCTTTACAGCGCGGTGGAATTCATCTGAAAAAAAAAAAAGAATCATCACAACAATTATCTATTAAAGTTTTTACGACCTCCGTGGTCTAGCGGTTTAGCACACCGCCTTACTTCCGATGGTTGCAGGTTCGATTCCTCGCACGGTACAAATATTTGTATTCATGAATATGATTGTTTGGGTGTTTTCTATTTGTAATATGTAAGTATTTGCGAAAAAATATATATATATGTATTTATATTACTTGTCTAGTACTAGTAATACAAGCTCTAGCTAGCTTAACTCGGGTCTAGATGGTGCTGTGTGAATTGTCCTAAGATTAATTTAATTATTATTAAAGTTTATTAAGGGTCGGCAACGCGTACATGAGACCGCTGGTCTCAGGTGTCCAGGCTACGGTAACCGTTTACATCAGATGGGCCGTATGCTTCTTACGGCAATCGTATTAAAAAAAAAATCTTTTTGAATCAACATATTTCAGGTGTTTACGTTTTCCATTTCCTTAATTAATTAATGTATTTAAATTATTTAGTTTTTTTAAAGTATACGAGTTTTATAAATTATCAATAACTCTATGGTTATATCTTAGCTCTTTATATTTATTTATTCTTCATTTTGCAATATCAAATAATTATTAAAAGGCGCTAAAGCAGTCACGATTGATGAACGCGGGAGCTGGCGGCGCGCTCGCTATTTCTCTCTCTTTCTGTGTCTACATATACATACCATATTCATTCATGCGTGAAAGAGAGCAAAGTGAAAAAGAGTGTAAACTGATGAAGATATTCCGTGGATTATATCAGCGAATATAATTTAATACTTGCCGACTGAGAAAATGATAGCAGATATCTTGACGAAATGTATATCGGGTCCGAAGTTAAGGTAGTTGTGACTCAAATATTACAAAATTATTCTGTTATGAGGCGGCATAGATCCAATTGTAATTAATTATACGTTTTAACAGACTTAATTTTGGATATATTTTTTGCTACTATTGTTTACTTTTCTGTGTATCATTACATAATATAAAACAAAGTCGCCGTCGCTGTCTGTCCGTCCCTATGTATGCTTCTTTCAATCTTTAAAACTACGCAATGGATTTTGAAGCGGTTTTTTTAAATAGATAGAGTGATTCAAACGGAAGGTGATGATATATAATACATGTACACTCGTGCGAAGCCGGGGCGAGTAGCTAGTTGTTTTATATTATGTATGTTATGTAAATGTAGAGATGTATCTTAAATGTAATGGATTAAGGGATCGTATTAGGCACATTGATTTAAGAAGAAAAATTATAATCCATTCATTTAAAATAAGTAATCATGTTGCTAAATAACAGATGTAACGTGCTGTGATCAAAACGAGATTAAATTATATTCGCTGCTATAATCCACTGAATATCTCTATCAGCTACACCTTTATAACGAATCTACACGCACCTTTAGATATAGGATGGTCGGCGAGCGTGTACATCCTCATTGCGATTGTGAAATCCTCTAGATTGTTGAGGAACTGGCAGAACGTCTTGAACTCGTCGAAGGTGATGCCCCTCTCATCCTTGACTCGGTCCAGCAGTCGGTCCAGATACATATCGTATTCATCTGTATCGAGGTACGTATACCGCAGCAATATCTTCGCGAAATCCACCTCCGATATGGTTTCATGACCTGAAAGATTTCCCAGCATATGATATTAAATTAATGTTAATAAACTAAATAATGTAAAACATTAACTTGAACAGACAAGTTCAGGATTGAATATCATAGAATAGAAAAGGTATGAGAAGAAAGAGATGAAGAGAAGAAAAGAACTCTATTATTTAGAGTAGAATACAGTATAGTAAAGTGTAATAGAATAATCTTTATTCAAATTGAGTTTTAATCTACCGCTCATTCGGAAAGATGGCTCATCACAAGAAGAACAACAGCGAAACTTGCGTGTTGCTCTTTTATATGATTGTTGTAATTTTACAATTTAAGTTACAATGTGTAAACAAATAAACTAATTATAACTATAACCAGAATATCAGTTTTAGTGTTTAGAGTAGGTCAGTCAAACAAGCAGCACTCGTTCACGAGTATGACTTATAAGGCAGCCATGACTGTTGATGGCTGACATACACCTTGCACGCCCACAGAATGTCATGTGTCTTTACAAAATAAGAGATATAGGGAAAGGGATTGTTAGTAATGTGGACTGATGATCCCATTACTAGCAATGTACCATGTCAGGTTGACCTCCACGCGGTTCCCTCTGGAAATCATTGTGACAAATTCCTGGTGAATTTGTCACGATGGACTAACTAATCTGACCTCATGTTCATCTTATCATCCGCCAGAGTAAACCGTTAGCGCAGGCGGGTGCACCATTCCATTATCATACATAAAAAAAATGGCAGGTTGACCTCCACGCGGTCCCCCTGGAAACTATCATGATAACTCCTGGTGTATTTGTCACGATTGGAGTTAGTCCAGTTTGTGTTGACCTCAGTCTTCCTACCATGGTGAATGTGTGTGCTAGTGCACGCGCCTGCGCTAACGGTTTACGCTGGCGGGGCACCAGTGGGGGATGATAGGATGAGCATTCAGGTCAGGTAGCCCATCTTGGTAAACTAAGAATTTAACAGGATCGTTTACGTCAGCCCATAGTGGTATCATCAAGAATTTATCACGATGGTTTCCAGGGGGGACTATGTGGCGGACAAACTGACATGCTACTTGGCTAGCAATGAAATTATTAATCCACATCACTAACAATCTTCCCTTTTAAGGTTTATTATTAGTTATTTTATTTAAATAAAAAAATCCCATAAACAAGTTTATTGCTTAATGTCAAAATTGAGGTACCTTTTATCTAAGTGGGTTTAATACTTCCTGGGATGCTTGGCGTATCTATTGGTCCAGTGACAGAAGAGGTCAAATTTATTAGTTACTTGCATTTTACGATTGTGATAACAAAATGCAAACGTGACTATTAAGTACCTAATATAATATTTTTTTAACTGACTTTAAAATTGCCTAATTTTTCTTTTATAATGAGGATGGGTTGCGCTTTAAAATAAAAGAAATACGGTACGTGCTATCGACTATCAATACCGACGGCCTCGGTGGTCTAGCTGTTTTGCACACCGCTTTACTTCTGATGGTTGCGGATTAGATTCCTCGCAGAATGCAAACATTTGTATTCATGGGTATGATTGTTTATATCGATCTGAGTGTATTCTATGTATACTACATATATTAGGATATATAAAAAAAAATCTAAGTATTTATATCAGTTGTCCACACCCATAACATAAGCTCTGCTTACCAGACTAGATTGCTCATTTTGAACTATGAGTAAACAAATGATATAAAGAGTTAAATCGTCTATTGTCTATCGTGATATGGACATGTAATGCGTAGGAATGAAGACCATATCCTAAGAACGATGTTACATATGAATGTGGATGGTTATAAGGGTGTAGAGGAAGACCGAAATTTAGATGGATGGACTGTGTGAAAGATGTTATGGTCAGAAGTTATTAAGTTTTAGATTACTTAACATATATAATGGAAAAAAAAACATATTACGCCGACTCCAAATAAATGGGACACATTTAAAAGCAGATGATGATGCGTTGATATAGAAATACCTACTTAAATATATTTTTTCTAAACCAATAATACACAGAAAAAACCAAAACTGTATTGCACAAGAATCGAACCGACGACCATAGGAAGTATAGCGGTGTGGTGTTACACTACCATCATCATCTTCTTCCTTATGCCTTGGGGTCGGCTGACTGCCGGCACCGAGGCTGCCAAATATATTTTATTATTACCTTTGGCAAATTCTTGAAACTCCAACTCGAGTACTTCGGTCTGCAAGTTTTCCATGAACTGCTTGAAGCCCTCGAACTTAAGGTCGTTCGTGCCTTTTTTTCCAAAGAAGTGAACCTGAAGTGAACAATAAAAAAATAAAGTTCTTCACCTCAGGTTACCTGCCCTAAATTATTAAAAAATATTCCCCGTCCAATTCAAACTCAATCAAAATTACGACGGCCGGTGCCTAGGTTCGGACTCCTAGCGGTGTCCTCAGAATAAACTCGTATCCGTCAGGTGGGAGTTGGCCTTTAGCTACTCTCATAAGTCCTTCCGCGGGTTTGGAGTGCCATCTCAGCACTCGCCCCGTATCGTCTGGTGAAGCTGTAAACGCCAGCTGCGGCCAACAGCATTAGAGTAGTACGAAAAAAAGTTGCGTAATGTATGCATTTTAAATTGAATCGTATAAATAAAGGAAATATAATATAATAAATTAGATATATTTTTTAAAATTTCTAAAGAGTGGAATCTCCTCTTTTTAAGCATAAAAATGCCTGTGCTACAGGTATTTTTATGCTTAAAAAGAGGCGTCTAAAATCGTATAAAATTTTGTAAAATTTGTGTTACCTAAATAAAGAATTTTTAACTTTAACGGTCCGGCACATCACTAATATATATACTATATGTATGTATATAAATATTGGATTTTTTGGCACTATGTAGGTATTATTGGAGTAATATAGTATTATTCCATCACTTTTATTTTATTGTTCTTACAAGGTGCGATAACCTAAGGGCCCTTTGATGATATTTCGGTGCCGAAGTGCATAATATTACGCAACTTACGAGTGGAACGAAATCGTAAAAAGTGTGTATTTTAATAAAAAATATTTTATTCTATTTATAGCATTACGGAATAGCGATTTATATATTTGTTTGTTGTGTGGATGAGTTTTCTGTGTACATTATGTATGTGTATTTACAAAAAAATCTATGTACTTTATCAGTTGTCTACTGCCCATCACACAAGCTCTGCTTACCGTGGGACTAGATGGCGCTGTGTTAATTGTCCAGGGCTATTTATTTATTAGATTCGACTATTGTATAGAAAAATAGGATTGTCACTTAGCAGTATCATACCTGCAGTAACGCTAGAATGAAACTTGCAGTAACGCAAGAAATATACCTGTAGGAACGCTAGAATTATACCTGCATTAACGCTAGAATTATACCTGCAGTAACACTAGAATCATACCTGCAGTAACGCTAGAAGCATACCTGCAGTACCGTTAGAATTATACCTGCCATAACGCTAGGATTAAACTTGCAGTAACGCAAGAAATATACCTGTAGTAACGCTAGAATTATACCTGTAGTAACGCTAGAATCATATCTGCCGTAACGCTAGAATCATACCTGCAGTAACGTGTCGACATTGTGTCGCCTCTGTAGACCTTGATCATCATTCACGTAATTGTCTTGTGGCTTCCCCTCTTTGCCGTCTTCGTTTGTTTCCTCCGTCATACCTCTCTTGCCGCGCCACGCGAAACTGAATATTTTCTCCATCTGTAGTGTTGCCATTATACATTAATAAAATTTCCTTAGTACTATTTCGTATATAACTTGGAGTTCTCTATATTTTACAGGTTTTAGAATACATTAATAGAAATTGATTAATACTTATATAGAAAGGTGCAATAAGATACACACAATACGCTTCTATCTAAATATAATAACTATATAATTATCTCGTATATATTTTGGTGTACAAACAAAATTAAAAAAAAAATATTACAACATAATTTTCATATTTTTCTAGAAAATACTTTCAATAACAAATACGTATCAAAAATAATTGATATTGTGTCTACTATAAAATTTATTTTCAAACTGAATGTTTTCATAATTAATAATAAAATAAAAACTATATTCTCTTTTCTTCTCTATCTAAAGGTAGTCAACATTTAGAAAGAGATTGCAGAAGCTATAAGTCCGCCTTTTGCTCTATTACTCTGTTAATTTTGATTCTTATAATTTATCTGGTAAAATAAAGAGTCTACAAATAAATTAATTAAATGGTAAATTATAAATAAAATCTACCGAAGTATTTTGCAATGGGTAGATTAGATACGTAATATAAGTTTCAAGTTAACCTAAATTTATATATTAAACTGTATATAATTAGATTACCACATAGAGAACACCAAGTAGAACGTGATGTGAATAATTCAGTCGTACAAAATGTACAATAAATTACAACAATATATTTGTAGAATGTGTTCAGGTGTAGTAGAAACAATCTGAAATTCAGTAATAGCATTCATATAACTAAACAATTGTCTCCAATGAACATATCTTACTTTTTTCGCTGATAACATATTTTTTTTATTACAGAACATTTTTAGTCATACGCACCTATACATATTAAAGTTTTTTTAATGTTTATCAATATATGTTATTTATGTATAATTTATGTATCTTTATATATTAGTATTTTTGTGTATGTCTATTCATTATTATAGTTTTGATGACGATATCTTAATGTCTCCTTTTTTGTTCGTACACGTGGCAGATCGGACGTTAGCTAGTTTGTTATTCCAGTCACGTTAAAAAAATATATAAAGAAAACGTGTAAAAAAAATCATATTTCGAACGACATTTCCAAGTGCAATTACTATTATAGGATTTCAGATTGTCACTATTTTGGTATCATTCTTGTTGCAGTGTGACTCACAATTTACATGCGGGTTTTTTTTTAATTAGTTAATATATATACACGCTCTCAAAACTGCAAGACTCAAAGTAAATTAAAGACGTTAAAATATATTATTATCTAAAATATGTAAACATGTAACTTTTATTCATTTTTAAATAGTTACAATTTTATTTCTAATAATGTTACTTGTTATAAACAAAATTATCTTTTTCATGCAAGTTTGTGAATACTGGTAACACTGGTTTTTCAAATACATAATCTGAATACGAAGGGTCATTTACCATATTATAGATTGGTACACATACAAATACAGTCAATAAGTATCATATATTGGGGAAAACAAAACATTCTTTAGTTAGTGAAATAAATAATGGATTTTTTAAAGTTGTCCTTTGATTTTAAATATTCCAGTTGTATTTTCTAGCTTTACCGTCTTTACGAACACAATAGTACTACTACTTGTGGAGACTGGTCTGTAAGAGTTACGAACAATAATTAGACTATTTGCTTTTGACAAAATTGCATAAGGATATGCTGGTGGACACACTATTTTCACAAATTTGAATTTAAAAATAAATCTGTTTATTGCAAACATGTATGTACAAGCTCATTTCAAAAGAATACGAGCTGTTTCTCGTCAGTTCTTCTCATCTCGAAACCACTGGCAACTGACAATAGATTTGATATATCATAAGAGTCTGTAATAGACCTACATGAATAAAGATATTTTGATTGAATCATTTGATTATAATAATGTTCGATCGTTTACTTTACATTCGATTTTACAGATTATACAAGTCTGGAGTAGTCTGGAATCACCTTTATATGAACAAAATAGTGCATATTAAAAATATATTTATTATATGAGTAAATTAGTATTTAAAACAGGAATTACGTCACATTATTCAGTCATACAAACATGATTGTGAAAGTACAATAGAAAATTTAATTAATTTTTTTTTGTTATATTGTTAATTATAAACACAAGCATGTACACAGTTAAGTGTTTGTATGTATGGTCCATCGTCAATATTAATATTTCAATAGAATTTCAATAAAATATATATAGATATTTTCAGTTATTTTTACATATATTTCATTAATATTCCATATAAAATGTACTTTGGTATGTGTCTACGATCTTTGTATTATATTTTATTGTAAAATAGATTGTTTAGTTAAGAGTAACAAATAAATTTAACGAAGAAATGACGTAGATATTAAAAAATGCGTTATGCAAGAGGAAACAATCAGGCGACTGTAAAAGATATTATAAAGAAGATAAAAAGAACAAAATATATTTCTCTCGCTCACACAAAATAGATTTGTAAATACAAATGTATCGTGTATTGTGTTGTATAGACATTTACTAATATTAGGATCTTAAAATTCTTTACACATGTGTGCGAACGAGACAAGCTATGCCTCCATCCAAGTATCTAAATGAAACGACACAACACTAAAAACAATCTGACGCTTGAAGCCAGTGAACGCAACACCGGATTGTCGACTTACTGTAGAAGGCTTAGAATCTCTTTCAATTTGGGCCATCTTGCTCTTCTGTGCACTTGAAGAGACTAAGGAAAGCAGCTACAATGCCAGGCGGTGAGCACATATTACACACAAATATAATTATTATACATATAATCAACAGTATAAAGCAATTTTATACTTCAAATTTTAGATGGTAAGCGTGGTTTTCTGATTAAAACAAGAGTTTATATATAAAAAATTAAACGAAATAGTTTAGAAGCAATATATAAAGCTGGCTGTGCCGCCGATTGAAAAAATAAAAATAACAATATAAAAACATATAATTAGAGAAGAGAGGAGTTGAATCCAAGATTTCCAAACTCCATGAATGGATTGCTAAGTGTGTTACACTTTTAATTACGACAGAGATATAACAGCGTTATGTATTTAGAAATAATGTACTGCACGTAGTATAAAAAGGAAAGACAAATAAAAAAAGAACAAAAAGAACGACACAGAAACTAGAAACCGACACAAATCGACATTTTTTCATGATTTTGAAGCGGCACAACCATTTGTTTCGGACAGTTAAAAGATCATATTGATTTATTAACCATTTTATTGACTCGAATTATGAATAATCAAACAATATATAAATATAAAATACTAAATATATAAATATATTTATATATCTATATACACAAATAAAAACATTTCTAATTGAATATCGTATTTTTTTTTCCAAAAAAAGATAATATAATAATTATATAAAAAATAACTAAATATTTTTTACAGTATTTTAAAAATATATGTATATATTAAAAAGAAAACAATATTCATGAAAGATACATACAATATTTTATAATGGCAATACTGGAAATAAATCGATATGCAACTTTTAACTTACTACCGAATAATTTCCCTAACAGAAGCACTCTTTCAACTCACTGCCTCCTGACTCTTGCGGTCCAAATTCTTACGCTCCTTAAAGGCACCACCGAGCAACCGTTGGATCTATATTATATACGGCAGAAAACAAGCTCAGAAAAAGATAAGAAATAAATATATACTTAAATAAATAAATAAAAACGATGGTTCCTTGTTGCATAAATATGTGCTCGTGTTAAAAGGTGCGTTAAGAGTATTTTTGTAAAGATTTCGTCAATTATACAGATAGTAGATGACTTTATAACAAGATAAGTTATTTCTAAATTAAAATTATTGCAATTCAAAATGTTTGAAAATGTCATGCATTATAAATCAGTAGGTGAAGCTTCTACAAAAATCACTACTCTGTGCTTTGTAAATTTGTTTTCTTTTTAAATTCTAATACCTATTTCTAATCTAAGTCGAGAAAATTGAGATATCATAACCACTACAGATTATAATCATCATAGACAAAATCTAACCTACAAAAATAAACAATATGGATGAGAAATATAACCTGGTAATTTAAAATCGAAAATATTCGAAATTTGAATTGTATTGAAATACTTAATTTGAATATCGAATTCAAATATTTCACTACAGTTCCATTATTAAATATCGTCCATTTTGTTTATGAAAATAATATAATTACTAAGTAATATACATTTTATACTAAATTTGTTTTTCTACTATTTTAAGTCTACAATTTTGATTGTTTTGAGATACATTGCTATGTAATCAGAGTTTTTAATACTGCTAGATATACTACTATTAAGCAATATATGTACTTGTAATAATAGATGTAAAAATAATACTTACGACTAGAAATTCATTCTTATCTACTCTTTGGTTGCCGTCAGTGTCGAACATGTTGAACGCTATTTGAAATCCAGACGCCGGCTCTGGAAACATACATTTCCATTATTACGACTGTAATCCCAGAAGGGGTAGCCAGTAACATTTGCAATAGTCGACGATGTGGTGAAGGCAATAAATATTTAGTTTAGTATATTTCAATCGTATTTTTTAAATTATTTATGTTTTATAGCTCCATGCTCCATGCTCCTACCATGTTGGTGTCAAAAGAACTTGTATCCAACAAGTTCTTTTGACACCAACATGGCAGGAAGCGAACTTACCACCACGGCCATATTAATTTAGTTTGTTATCTGTATTACTGGAAATTCAGAAAAACAAAACCTTTTGGTGATGGCGGGATTCGAACTCACGATATTTGGGGTCAATAAAAATGGTTACTAAAACACAAGTTATACTCGTGAACAGGTACTGCTTGTAGAGACTAGTCAACTGTGATAACTATGTCTGATTTATTAATTTATTTCGTTACTCAGTATATAAATATATAAAAATGTAATTCTGAACAATATTTATTTAAAAGAGCAACACGCAAGCTTCTTTCTCATTGTTGTGATGAGTCTACTTCCGAATGAGTGGTAGACTCAATAAAATATGACTATTCAAAAGTGCTTATACTAACTTTATTTGAATAAAAATTATTTCTATTTCTACTAGACCAATATTAGCAATGTTAGTTACGTCTAGGAAAATGTCACATTCTTTTAATGTTAAATTGGTTTTCTAGATAATTAAAATGTGCTCTGATGTACTTACTTGTTAATATAGATAGAAGAAATAAATACTCTGTATATGATATTATTCCTGAAACATAAAGAAATGTTAGTCACATTTGGGAATTACTGTACTATCCTTCACGCCTTATCTAATGAAGAGTGACTGTTTTTAGACTACTCCAGACTACGCTGTGGGGCGCAGGTGGCCTTTACAGCTACATCGGCCAGTGCAGATGGCACTCCAAACCCGTGGAAAGACTTATGGAGCGGCTGAAGGTCAGCTCCTACCTGACGGATATGACATTAGTTTGAGGGCACCACTAGGGGTTCACACCACGGCCTAAGCTGTCGTAATTTCGATCCTCGGTTGAATTGGACAGAGGATCGATCTGTGGGGATGAAAAGTGATAATAGTTCCATACATATGTTATGTATGAACAGTGTACTCATCTGAACATATAGATATTTGACGGTCTCGGTGATCTAGCGGTTTTGCACACCGCCTTACATCCGATGGTCACGGGTTCGATTCCACGAACGGTGCAAACATTTGTAATTAGGAGTATGTTTGTTTACCGGTCTAGGTATTTATAATATGTATAATATCTTGTTTATAATATACAAAAAATATATAATTTATGTAGTACACATAACATAAGCTCTGGTTAGCTTTGCTCTAGATGGCGCTGTGTGAATTCTGGGCAATTCTGGGTCATTCTTATTATTATCTACATCCGAAAAAGATTAGGTCTCCTCTTTGTTAGATAATAAGGTAAACACTGACCTTTATCTCTGAGGTTCCTGAACAACTGCGGTGACCCTTTCTTCAGCGCCGGCGTGTGGTCCCGCAGCTGTTCAATTTCTTTCGTCGTCAGGATACGTCTCTTAAGACGAGCTGCAAATACAATGCATCTAGTTAAGGGCGAGTGGATTGTTGGTATTGGGGACTAGTGATACTGTAGTTCTAGTGAGTGTTGAGTACCTACTTTATACTTTCTGTACAATCTAACAAGAGTGATCATTTGTATACTTATGTTTTACAACTGTACCACTAGATGGCGTTAATACGTTTCATTAATTTTCTACAACTCGATATTAAGATTTCCGCGTGAATCGGTATAAGCGTTTTGATAATTTTAATAAATATAACAGCCACTGTGGCAGGATTTCTGCAGTTCAATTTATTAACTGCCCTAACTATTAACTACCCTTGGGGATCCGTGGATAAGCTCACTTTCATATGCATTTAATGAAAAGCTATGAATTTAAAACTAAAAACAGACAATTCAATTGTATCTTAATCAGCCCACAGCGGTCCACTGCTGAACATATAGCCTCTCCCAAGGCACGCCACGGGGCACGATCTTCATCTCTTCCCGTCCAGTTATTATCTGCAACCCTACGTGTCGTCGCTCTACCTATGTTATTTTTATACTTAAGAAACTTATCATTATTGATTTGTAAATGTAATCACGCCATCTTAGACGAATGCCTTGCGTTCCCATAGCCCTTGCGATACAATAGCCGTCATGTTTTAGTCGGTAAGAATCCGATAGTCCGGACTATATGAAGATCTTTCTGACGTTACAAAAAAATAAGTGTACTCACGGCGCGGTTCCTGCTCAACGACCGACTCCAGAAAGTCCTGCGGGGTCATGTACAGCTGTCCACCATACTCCACGCTCGCGAACTTTATGAATCGACGCTCACGTGACGTCAGCTTCACCGATTTTGCCAACTCGTCCGGCTGTGGGCAAACAATATGAAATTAATATTTTTACAAGTCTTAGGCTGGATTTCACCAATTGCAGTATAAATAAGTTCAAGGAAACTGAGTTTAGCGTAAACTCGAAAAAAAGATCCATATTGATCTCGTTTTACTTTAAATGGAATTCACCAGCATTATATAGATCGCGTTTACCAAAACGAAGTTTAGATTTTCATTCGTTCACTGTGAACGAATGAAAATCTAAACTCGCGAGCACGTTGAACCCTCTCATGCATAAACGAAATATCTTCTTTGAAAAGTATACACTATATCCTGAGGAGATAAAAACCATCGCTCTGGGAATATCCTTCAATTCTTGTCCCTCATGGGTTGTTACCTAGGTAACAAACTCTGAATAAGGGCGAGCACAATAGATCTATACAGTACGCAGTGTTACAGGTCTTAGCACCTGAAAATAGCCCAAATCCCCAATAAAAAAATTGTTAGTCCATAAGGTATTTATAATTGTAATGTAGGGTATACGCCTTATAAAGTTGTGAGGGTGGATCGTTTCGCATACGGACGATCGCCCATCTTGTCTTTGAATAAATCCAGTGTAAAGAAGTCGTGTTGTTACTTATTATATTCCCTATATTACATAAATACTTATCAATAATATGGGCCTATTAGCCTGAAATAAATAAATAAATAAAATGTAGCTTTCAATAAAGCATCGTGCATTTACATCACTGCCTATACTTACTTGCCTATATGGTTTCTTTAAGATCATAATAGTAATCTTGCCAGCTCTATTACTAGTGGCGTCCTTAGGTTCTTATAACAGAAGTGGTACAGAAATAGAAAATAACAATAACACACTACGTGGTGTTTCTAGAAATTTCCCTACAAAATAATGTTGTTCTAACACAAATTCTTGGTTTTCTTTTCCGCGTATCGTGTTTCTTGTTTTTAATAATCACCACTTTAACAGTTCTCTTGTTATTGTATTTTCTATAGACAAATCATGCTGCGAAAACGACATTTTAAACCAATGTCTTTAGAGACGGCCGCGGTGGTCTAGCGGTTTACCACACTGCTTTACTTCCTATGGTCGTGAGTTCGATTCCTCGCAGGTAAAAAAAATTGTATTCATTAGTATGATTGTTAGTATTGGTCTGGGTGTTTTCTCTGTATATATATACTAGCAGACCCCGCCACGTGTTGCTCTGGATAAGGTTAAATAATATAGCAACTGTAAATTGAGATGTAAGCTATCCTATCTTTCAAGTTGGCAATCGGTTCAGTAGTATAGGAGTGAATTTCAGACTAACAATGTGACACGTAATTTTTATGTATAAATTTTTATAAAAATAATGTATTTCAGTATATACATATATCAGTGGTCTAATGGCGCTGTGTGAATTGTCCAGGGATATTATTATTCTACCTTAGTCCTCTGGATACCCATGTGTTGCCACACATGGGTATCACTGACGTCACATGATAACGTGATGTCCGTAGTCCTGTTCATGTATCACTTACAACCAGGTGGTCTTTCAACTTGTTTGCCATTCTTATAACACAAAAATATCTTGTATAAACGAGAAAGTTATATTCCATGGGTCCGAGTTTAAAAGCGGCACCCATTAAAACGAAACTAGAGAATCCTTAACTTAAAAACCGATACATCTTTTATCGCGCCAATAAATCAGGGTTGTCACCTTCATTGTCCGCTGTTTAATAGCTATTTTGTCACAAATATGGCAGTAAATTACCGCGTGGCACCCCTTAAAGGAGTTATAAATCCTTACAAATGAGGTAAATTTTTAGATCACCCTTTTTCGGTTCCCTTTGGGGTGGTAGTAAAAATAATATATGTTCACGCTGTGTCCGGGTGGGAGATAGGCAGTTATCTATTGATCTAATAGCAATTTATATTGTTAAGTAAAATTAAAGCAGTTCATGTATTATTAACGATGTATTATCATATAAAGAAAGTATAATAATAATAATCTCAGAACAATTCACACAGCGCCATCTAGTCCCAAGTTAAGCTAGCTAAAGCATTTGTTATGGGTACTAGATAACTGATACAAATACATACATATATATATATATATTCTAAATACATGAATATTATACATAGAAAACACCCATACCGACGCATAGTCACGAATACAAATGTTTGAAAATAAATAATAAAATACGAGGAAAGAAACCCGCGACCATCGGAAGTAAGACGGTGTGCTAAACCGCTAGACCACCTAGGTTTCATGATTTGTTTATAGTGCAGTACATCCCAAACTATGGGTCACGGCGGAATATTATGAGAGTACTGAAATGACTAGGAAACCTGAGGCATCGCTAATAGTTTCTGACATATATCCTACAAAACAATCTACAGAGTAACGTGTATATCTAAAATCTACAGCCAAAATATTAATTAAACTAGAACACTTTCAAAAAGAAAGTAACTGAAAATAATAGATCTCTACTACAGCAGAACTCTATACAAAAAAACTGTGGTAAAGCATATCTGTAATATTTATTAAAAAATAAGAAATCGTTATTTAAAAGTAATTAATGAAATTACTAAAATTATTAGGGGACGAAGTATTGCTTTTTTTAATTAACGTAATTATTTAACAGATTATCGATATGTAGGAAACACATTAAAAAGAATCAAGTAAATAGATTCAGACTTAAACTACAACTTTATGTTTACAATTTACAATGACTTTACCTATAACTTTAAAGCTGTTTAAAAATGATAGATATCGAGTAAAGCAAGTGGCAGGAGGTGGTATAAATAGAGGAATGTACTTTCACGCGATTGTACGGTATGTGACATTAAATCACACGCGAGCGTCGGCTAACGAGAGGTGTACCAACGGTAGCGGTGCCCAGTTACCGCGTAAGCACCGCAGAAGTGCATCAAGCGGGCACGCCTCTATGCTAATAATATAATAATAATTGTTATAGACTATTCATTGTTGTCTAGGTAACCAGTAAATAAACAATACAAATGTCTCTATAATTGCTTATTTTGTACATAACAATAATAATCATAATTTCAGTCAAACGGAAGACGCGCGCGCGCATGTTTTTCAAAATAATATAAAAAAAAAGATACCTTCGAGACCCTGAAGCCCAAGAAATACAATACCTTAGAAACGACTAATAATATTTTGATGACTTTTTCTAATATAAAAAAAATACAATACCTTAGAAACGACTTAATATTTCGATGACTCTATGGATATATGGCTCTATGACTATATGGATCTCGTGGATCTACCACGGAAATTACGTGAATTTCCATGGTATATCCACGAGATTTTAGATAAAAAGATAAAATATTTGATTCTGATATTAAATTCTACATAATTATATGTATTAGATACATATATTATTCTAATTAAAACACACTCAGAATGTTAATTGCTGAACCGATTTTAAACAAGCGAGAGAGAATATCCTACTCGTTAATACATAAATTATATATTTGAATTATATTATATTATTGACGACCTCGGTGGTCTAGCGATCTAGCACACCGCTTTACGTCCGATGGTCGCAGGTTCGATTCCTCGCACGGCACAAACATTTGTATTCATGAGTATGATTGTTTGTATCGGTATGTATAATATGTATGTATTAAAAAAAATATCTATGTATATGTATCAGTTGTCTAGTACCCATAACACAAGCTTTAGCTAGCTTAACTTGGGTCTAGATGGCGCTGTGTGAATTGTCCTGAGATTATTATTATTATATTATATATTTTTCTGTATTTAACTGCTTTTTTTTATATTAATTTATGAAAATGCACAGGCTGATTATCTCTGATCAATGCGACGGCTGACTGGTAGAGAATGCCATCAGAATAAATATATATGTACAGACATCATAGATATTATTTTTAAGTTATATACTACTACACTATATTTTAAATTTGCATGCTCAAGTAGTATCTGGACAGATTACCATTCTCTAACTGTTCATTTTATTTTAATGTAATTTTTTTATTGAGGTTTTTGGGCTATTGTTAGGTGGTAAAATCTGTATCACTGCGACCTGCATAGATCTAATTGTGCTAGCTCTATTTCAAAGCTACTATTCGTTAATCATGAGAGAAAAGAATTGAAGGATATTCTTAGGAGCGATGGTTTTTACTCGTCAGGATAGAGTGTATACTTTCCAAAAGAGATATTCGTTCATACATGGCTACAACCACATATAGCATGTGTAGTCGAGGTGTAACTTCTTTGTCCCCTGGAATAGCAACGCATGTGTGGTATCACGGGCGTCACGTGACAACGCCAGGGTATTGATTTATAAAATATAATTATTAATAATTTAATAATTATGTTAATGTAATGTAATGATATATATATATATATATATGTAATGTTTATTACTTACCAACAGTGCCATTAGTTTGTATCCAGTTACATAAAAAAGAGCGTATTTTTAATAAATCGGCTCGATCCTATAGTCTATCCACCTTGACGCATTTTAATAACACTATTACGTAGCTAGTGGCGGGCGTTTAAACATGTAATATTAGTATTATGCGGGTATAAAATACAAGATGTTTAAGATTTCGTGTGAACTATGGACGTTGCGTGGCGCCAGATTGGGATCAGGCGTAAAACAGTTATGGAGAACTTTACAGGTGATTACTATTAGGTATACATTGCTGTTCTCTCTTGTTAAAATATACTTTATTCGTAAAACTTTACTTGAAAAACTACAAAGTATCAAAAACATTCCATTATTTATATATCATCTATTGGACATAAAGTTTGGAATACAGGGATTTCCTAGCACACACACGTTACGTTATAAAATAAAGTAATTGTATTGAAATAAATAATAATTAGGCTTATAAAATAAAGTAATTATACTGAAATTAATAATAATAATTATTACGGTATACACTATTACTGAGTCACGAAGTACATATAGTAAGAAGCAAGCTGTAAATATAAAAATATTTTCTATATATACTTAGGCATAGCCGATGTATATGGTTA